TTCACAGGGGTTTGAGTGCTCCCCGTAGCCTGCCCAAGGGGTTTCGCGACATCTTTCCACTCATTGGGAACAACGCCATGGGAGTGGGCTCGGCGACTTCGAGCAAGAGTGGAGGCATAGTCGATGACGCCCCTGAATCGTTCTTCGGTGGAAATAGATAGAAGATTCAGTATGTCCACGAGAGGAGCACCTTCCTGGTTGAGAATTGTCTGGCCAGTGCGCACCACAGAAGAGCCGTCCGGACCGGTAACTTCAATTGGCTGTGGTCGGCCAGGTACGGGATGAAAGAGGCCTTCCGAGGGGATTCGAACACCAAGGTCAAAGCCTCGCTTCTGGAGCTTCTGTTCGAGGAGTTTTGTGATCAAGAATGGTTCTTGAATGTGATACTGTGCTCGCCTTGCTGCGATGGTATCCTCACGAGTCGGTTCATTAGGGTCTTTGAAGGGAACATGCGCCTGAGAGGATGGACCGGTGAACGAGCTGTGCGTAGTCGCCGGTTTAATTTGAGGCAAATCACCGAAGCTGGTTGAAGCCGAGGGAGTTCCCGGGGTAGAGCCTTGCGACGTGAAGGAGGTGTTGATAGGTGGCGGGTATTGGGACTGTGGTCCTCGATGGGAAGGCTGCGCCTGCGCATTCTGCCCTGAAAAGCTCTGTGTGAGAAATGCTTCCTCTTCCCTCACATCAATTCCAGATGACGCTAGGACATCTGTCAGCTCAGCAGCATCTGTTGTTTTGTCCACTGGGCGAGAAGGAGGACCCATGGTCCCGGGAGGCACGGGCGCAGGTGTTACCGACATGTTCATGTTCATGTTCATGCTCATATTCATTGGTGCTCCGTTCATCGGAGAGGAATTTTGTGGTAGCTGCACCGCGTTAAAGCTTGGAGAACCGTAAGGAGACTGGGTTTGAGAAGGCGGCAGAGGAGAGAGGCGAGGTCGTTTAGATGGAGGAGGTGCAACGCCTCCATTCGCGGGAGATGCTACCGAGTTTGGGGATGGAGACGAGACAGGTGGGGAGAAAGGTTGAGAAGAAAATTGTGGCGGCGGGGGTGCCTGCTGCTGTGGATGCCGAGCTTGTGCCATCGTGACTGCCTATTGTGAGCGAGATTGAATTTCAAATGAGATAGGCTACTGCGCCGAGCCGTCGTAGCCTAGATGAATCGAGGTCCACGCGTGGCCGTTGAACTGAGCGGATTGCTCGCACCACCAGCTTCCACCACCTTTGACCATCTCAATATTGAATTCAAACCATGTACGCGACACGCGGATCGTAAAAAAGTAGAATCAAGTGCAAAGGTATCAGTACTCGGGGAGACAGTGATGCGTGATGTGGTAAGGAGCTTTCTAGGTGGTCGAACTTTGCTCCGCGGATCGCGGATCGCGATGCACGTGACTGAGCTTGACTAAGCTCTCCAAATCTGCGTGTGTCCAGATGAGGTTTCGTTTGCTGCAAAAGAGATCATTCTTCTATTAAATCACATCCAGTCGTCAACAGTGTGTTGACTGCCTGCTTTAATACCTGCAGCAGCTACATCCCATATAGCCTTTGTTGCGCAAGTCATGGGTGTTGCGCTGAGCTCATTTTGAGATCTTGGGCTTAATCGTGCGCGACGCGGGTGCTAGTGCCCTTCAACTAGGCTTCTCAAACTCATACTAGGAAACCTGTTGTTCTCCTGACAACTTACCCAATTAATTCTTGACACCATGACATCCAAGCGCAAAGCTTCAGCAATGGGATCGGCTGTTGACGATGAGCCCGTTGACCCATCAGACGAACTGGCATTCTACTGTCTTGGCGGCGGCAATGAAGTTGGACGGAGTTGCCATATCCTGGAATATAAGGGCAAGACAGTTATGGTAAGCCTCAGCCGAAATGAACAATGAAGTTGCAGATACTGACCTCCTTGGCTTCTGTAGCTCGACGCGGGCATGCACCCGGCGAAAGAAGGCTTCTCCGCACTTCCTTTCTTTGATGAGTTCGATCTGAGCACAGTGGATGTTCTTCTAATCAGCCAGTACGTGCACCTTTTGTTTAATTTACACACTATATGGAACCATGGCAAGCACGACTGGAGATCATTCTACACCTACCCATCTGAGGCACATGAGTTATCTGGCAGTCTATTGTCTCAGCTGCTTCAATGGAAGAACACATTTCCCTGCATATATATGAGAAGCCCAATACAATTCAATGTTATGCACATATTTCTTGTATCACTGTACCCCCTTTGAGTCTCGAATTCGAGTGCTATCTCCAGCGCGTTAGTTCATGGTTATCGCATTTGACTAACACTGTGATTTGTATAGTTTCCACGTTGATCATTCTTCCGCCCTCCCTTATGTTCTCAGCAAGACGAATTTCAAAGGAAGAGTCTTCATGACCCCGGCAACACGAGCAATCTACAAATGGCTCATTCAAGACAATGTCCGAGTCAGCAACACATCCTCTTCTTCCGATCAACGCACTACATTATACACCGAGCGTGATCACTTATCAACACTTCCATTGATTGAAACAATTGACTTTTACACCACGCATACGATCAATGGCATCCGTATTACCCCGTATCCCGCCGGCCATGTTCTTGGAGCTGCCATGTTTAAAATTGATATTGCAGGACTTGTGACTTTGTTCACAGGAGGTGAGTTATCCTTATCACACCCCTTGTGACCTTCATAAACACCAATTAAATTGCTAATCAACCGGCTAGACTACTCTCGCGAGGAAGACAGACACTTGATTCCTGCCGCGGTGCCCAGCGGCACAAAGATCGATGTTCTCATTACGGAATCTACCTTTGGCATTTCATCCAATCCACCTCGATTGGAACGTGAGGCGGCTTTGATGAAGTCAATCACAAGCATTCTCAACCGCGGAGGTCGAGTTCTGATGCCCGTTTTCGCTCTCGGTCGTGCCCAAGAGCTGCTTCTTATCCTTGATGAATATTGGGAAACCCACCCAGAACTTCAGAAGTTTCCTATCTATTATATCGGAAACATGGCACGGCGATGCATGGTCGTGTATCAAACATACATTGGTGCCATGAACGATAACATAAAGCGACTCTTCCGGCAGCGCATGGCCGAGGCCGAGGCCAGCGGCAATAAGAGCGTGAGTGTCGGCCCATGGGATTTCCGATTTGTTCGAAGTCTCCGCAGTTTGGAGCGTTTCGATGATGTCGGAGGATGTGTCATGCTTGCCTCCCCCGGTATGTTGCAGACAGGAACAAGTCGTGAGCTGCTGGAAAGGTGGGCACCAAGTGATCGCAACGGCGTTGTCATGACCGGTTACAGCGTTGAAGGTACTATGGCTAAGGGATTGCTCAATGAGCCTGATCAGATCCCGGCCGTCATGTCCAAGGTTTCCACGGGGCATGGTCGTGGTCGTGTTCCCGGAGTGAATGATGAGGATCAAAAGGTCATGATTCCTCGCCGTTGCACTGTTGACGAGGTCAGTTTTGCAGCCCATGTTGATGGCGTTGAAAATCGTACTTTCATCGAGGAGGTAGCAGCACCAGTTGTGGTAAGTGTGACACCCACCAACCTATTTGAAATTTTACTGACTGGCCCAAGATCCTCGTCCACGGCGAAAAACATCAGATGATGAGACTGAAGTCGAAATTGCTTAGTCTTAACGCAGACAAGGCGGTCAAAGTCAAAGTCTATACTCCAGCAAATTGCGACGAAGTTCGCATTCCTTTCAAAAAAGATAAAATTGCCAAGGTTGTCGGCAAGCTCGCAGAGCTTGCACCTCCATCGGAGAATGATGATGCCCAGCTCATGGCTGGAGTCCTAGTTCAAAATGGGTTCAACTTGTCGTTGATGGCACCTGACGACTTACATGAGTATGCAGGCTTGACAACTACGACGATAACTTGCAAGCAACATATCACTCTCAGCTCTGCGAGTATGGATTTGATCCGGTGGGCCCTCGAGGGAACTTTCGGGGCCATCGAAGAAATTGGAAACAGCAAGAAAACTGAGCCAAACGGCAAGAAAAACATGGATACTGACGACATCCCAAAGCAAGAGGACGCCGACGAGGAGATTCCATCAGATGAAACACAAACATTCCTTGTCATGGGATGTGTGTATCTTCGCCATCACTCGCGCACCCGTGAAGTCGAGTTGGAATGGGAAGGTAACATGATGAACGACGGAGTGGCAGATGCAGTCATGGCTGTTCTGCTCACAGTCGAAAGCAGCCCGGCCTCCGTAAAGCGTACGAAACCCTATCCTTTTTCGCCTCTTCACTTGTGCTAACTACGACGGTTCTAGAATCGGCCAAAAACAAGCATCACCACCATCACCATGACGATGACGACGTGGAAATCCCCTCACTTCCAAACCCTCATTCTCAGTCTGGACCCCAAGAGCGACTTGCACGTATGCTGATGATGCTCGAGGCTCAATTTGGCGGCGACAACATTGGCCCCATTGAGCGCCCGCGAGTCCCGGCAGATCTTGCACTCGGTCCACAAGAAGACGGCGAAGAGATGAACGAAGAACGCATTGCCGAAATTGAGGCTGCGGAGCTGGATCGTCTTATTACAATGGGTGTTCCTGTCCCTGGTATTGAGATTAGGGTGGACAAGCATATTGCCCGTGTGTGGCTTGAGGACCTGGAAGTCGAGTGCGTGAACCCTGTCCTGCGAGATCGCATTCGTGTAGTCGTTGAGCGGGCCGTTGAGACTGTCGCTGGACTGTGGGCGGAGAGCTCAATTCATCAGGACACGGCGCTTAGTGGCTCTGCCATCGGGCCGAAGGGGGTTGAACTGGCGGATAGGAAGAAAGCGGCTGCCATCGAGGCTCATGCTTGATCTCATGTACTTGTATAATAATGAAATATCCCAGCATTCACATGATTTGACTTCACTTTTCTAAATACCATCTTTTACGGTGTTTCTCCCGGCAGTTATTTTCCGAAGGAATTGAAATCGATTAGATCATTGCGCATTCCCAGGCCGTGAGAGGGAATTTGCAGTATCTACAGAATGTGCTTTATAACGAGGCAAAAACCTCTTTCAAAACGTTACCCAGGGTGGCTACAATAATATCAATCTCCTCTTCCGACACTATATTAGGTGGCGCGAGCATAAGATGATCTCCTTTAACTCCATCCACAGTACCAGAGCAGCCATATAGCGAGACACCGTGCTCCGGCTCTAGACCTTTCTCCTGGATTCGGTACGATAGACGATCCTTGGGATCGAATGGCTCTTTCGTGGCCTTGTCTTTAACAAATTCAAGCTGAAAAGCGTTAGTAATCCGAATTTTTGTTGGTTGTGTAATATCGACTACATGAACGTGTAACTTACCCCCCAGAACAATCCTTTCCCTCGAATATCTCCCGTGAGGATGACTCGCGAATCGCTGCTTCAACTGTGTCTCAAGGTAAGCACCCATGGTTCGGACATTTTCCAACAGAGACTGTTCCTGAATAGTCTTTTGGACAGCAAACGCAGCGGCACATGAGACCGGGTGGCCTTGGTATGTCTGCCCATGGCGGAACTGCCCAGTGCCTTTGTCCATAGTTTGCACAATGGAGTCATTAATTAAAACAGCCGACACCGGTGCATAGCCACCACCCAGCCCCTTTGCAATAGTCTGGATATCGGGAACAACATCTTCTTGTTCCCAGGCATGCAATGTCCCGGAACGGCCCATACCGCTCATTATCTCGTCAAGGATCAAGAGAGCGCCGTGCTTCTCGCAGACGGCTTTCATTGCACGGAAGTACCCTGGTACTGCGGGGACACAGCCGAGAGCCTAAAGACTATAAGTTGAATAATCCAATAATGTGAATTCCGAGATGGGAAGTCATACTGCGCCAACAACCGGCTCTGCAATGAATGCGCACACGGTTTCGGGTCCGACACGTTGGAATTCAGCATCTAGCTCGGCTGATAGACGTGCCACATATTCTGCATTAGACTCGCTATCCCGCTTCCCACGGTATGCATAGCATGGGGAGACATGGGATACATTCTTGGAGAGAAGTGGCTCAAATGGCTCCCGACGCTGAACATGGCCACCAACTGAGAGAGCACCGAGCGTGGTGCCGTGGTAGGATGGAAGACGCGCAATGAACCTGGTACGCTCAGTTTGAGGAGTTGGAAGCTCTAAGAAAAATTGGCGTGCTAGCTTAAGTGCAGCCTCTATAGCGTCAACACTGTATGTGTGGACAACATTTTTGGTTCTTGGAAAGGCTGCCTTGACTCACCCGAGCTCGTTATAAAGACCTTGGATAGCTTTCCCTCAGTAGAGTCAACTAGGAGCTTGGCAAGATCCTCGGCTACCTGAGTACTGAAGAAGGCTGAGTGACAGTAGGATATCTGGTCCATCTGATCCTTGATGATCTGGGCGACCTGCTCGTTACCGTGTCCTAGGCAAGATACAGCAGCGCCACCTGTGGCATCGAGGAATTTGGTCCCATCTTCTAGAAAGATGTAGCACCCCTTGCCACCAATTGCTTTTTTTGGGATGAAGCGTGTGTTCCGGTGGAGAAGAGCACTAGCTTTGGTTTCTGGGAAGGGTATATCAGGATGAGGAATGAGCTAAGACATGGTACGCATTTGACATACCGTTGGTCATGATTGAAGTTGCGTGATATGTAGTTGAAAAAACGAATTTCTGAAGAGGCTGAGAAACGCCTTGCATAGTCGTGGATCTCTTGTCGTTTCACCCGAGGCAATGGCCTATCCTGCGGGGCTAAGTGGGTTCGGCATGCCGAAGGGAAGAAGCCGAGCCCTCAATTGGTCCGGGGGGCGGGGGAACAGACATTTGGCCGTTCAGGTTTCCTGGGCTATGTTGTACCTGGTCTACCTGGTCCATCGCGTTTGAAGAAAGAGCTTTAAAAATTTTTTTAAAATTAGTGATTGGCAATGATTTATGGCCTGGGACTATGTTTGGGAGTGAAATTATTACACATGTCCATATTACAAGGATGTACATGGCCATTTAGTTCGGTGTGGGTTCCTCAATGGGACATAAAAATCTAGGGCTCCTTTTTTTTCATTGAGATTGACGCAAAGGGGTTTAAAAGTACATTCATGATTCTTCATGTCAAATTTTAGACATCATGCACTATACTAACAATCAGTGACGTTCATTCAGTTGAACATAGTCATGTCATCCCCACGTCCCACCGCCCGCACACTCTGCATTCTGCCCCTCTGACTTGGCCACAATTCCCGCGGCCTTCCCCAGACAACTCCCCAATCCACGAATTCAACCCACAATGTCGCATCACGCCAAAATCGAGGAAGTCTCCGACTCCGACCCAGAAGAGATTGCCCCTTCTTATGATTCTGACGAGGACCTCCCCAGAAATGCGATAATCTCACCAGTAAATATCCCAACCAGGACTACACCTCAACCCCAACAACAGATGCCCGTGCCTGAACCCCAGCGCGAGATTCCCCGACACTTCTCATGCTTGTACCCCGTGTACTTTGACAAGACCCGATCGCGCGCCGAAGGCCGCAAAGTGGGCGCAGAGCTCGCAGTGGAAAACCCTCTTGCGCGAGATATCGTTGATGCCGTGCAGATGCTTGGCTTGAATGCAGGTTTGGAGCCTGAGAAGCTGCATCCTAAGGATTGGGCGAATCCCGGTCGTGTGCGTGTGCAGGTTAAGAAAGAGAATGGTCAATTAGCCAACCCGAATATCAAGAACAGTATGTGGTTGATACCTTTGATTGAGCAACTGCTTCTTTCTGCTGGATCTGAACTGACCTTGCTGTTCAGAGCACCACCTCTATCTTCTCGTCGCACAGTACTTGAAGGCTAATCCTACGACTGAAAAATCACCCTACCGCCTACGAATCCGTGGCCTGCCCATGCCCGAAAAGCTTCCAGCAGCTCCTGCTGCCCCGCGGGGTTGGAAGATCGGGAAGATCCTCCCTATCCATTCACCTGCCTACAGCGGTGGTGGTGTCAGTGACAATCCTCTCAAGGACGCAATGGCCGAGATGCAGGGCATGCAGGGTATGGAGGGAATGCCTAACATGTCGGAAATGATGAGTCAAATGGGTGGAATGGGCGGACTGAGCAATATGTTGGGTGGACTAGGCGGACTGGGCGGACTGGGCGGACTGGGCGGCGAGCCCTCAGGGGCAGGCGCAGAAAAGAAAAAGAAGGAAAAGAAGAGGGTGATCAGGGCATGATTTAGCACGTCCATCACTCCGTGTTCCACTTGCATTTTTATGGCGATGGGCGTTGCTTTTTTCTCCCCAATTTTTGATGCACTCACGAAAGGACACTTCCTTGATACCACGGGCCTGCATCTGAATTGATCTCATTGTATATCCATCTCAAATCGTGTCCAACATCTACCTGAGATTTAAATCACAGTACCTTATACGCATTCTACATTTTATGGACCATACTGGATGTCTGTAAGCTACAACGAGAGCTTTAAGAAAGACTTTCCAAGTTAACGCTAGATGGAATTTCAAGTTTCAAACCTGCATGTACGCCATGCAAATGCTTGACAGTATAATTCCGAGATCATAGTTATTTGTTGAGAAGCAGAGAGGAGTTATGCATTGTGCCGTCGGGTCCAGTGCAAATAGCCCCAAATCAATCAGGGCTATGCGGATCATAAAATACGAGAGCCATCATCTAGAGTGCCCTAAGTGATCCGTCGACCCGCTTACTAGGCCAAAAATTTGTCTATACCACGGAGTAAAATACTAGGACCTTTCTGAAGCGGTATGCTGATGAAGATAATTACCGGACACCCAAGTCTCTGAGGTAAATCCTACCCAAAACAGTCCGTTTAAGGGCCTACACATTTTGGGTTCTGTTCATCAAACCTCGCAGGTTTGAACCTCGCGGGATTGACAAGGGGAAGAACAAAGAAAGACATGTTAAATGGCCTTGCAAGGGCTGAACTTGCGCTCAAGTAGCTAAAGGGGCTGTGTTCGTGGGTGTTGTCATTTTGCTATACCTCTGTCTCTTTCGGGTGTCCTCCATTTCTATACTGCCAAAGCCGACTGAGTTCCTTGACACGCAGAACTCGATCCACACCTTTCGTTTTTGACCGTTGCAGGCTCAGCGCGGCGGGGAGAAACGCCTCGTCTCGGGCTATACTGGGTTGAGATCTGACTCGATGCGGAGGGCCATCATATCCATTGATACCGGAGGTCACCCACGGCTCCACTTCCATATCCATGAACGGATTGGAGTCAAGGACTTTCATATCAGGGCCTAGGGTAAACATATTGCCCAAGTAGTGCATGTTCAATAGATGGCCTGAATTCGGGCGCACAAACAGCCGGCCCATGTATCGATTTGGGATGTCCACGAAGTGGAGCACTCCTCCCACAGCTACAATATCAGCTGCATTGGCATAATGCTCGATGTGGCCGATGGACTGGCCAAATTGATGCATTGTGTCGGGCGTTGAGGTCCTTCGTGTCCTTGCTGGTTGTATCCATCGCGGGTTGTTGAAGTGATTCGCGGCATTCCCAAAGGTGTATACCTCCAAGTGATGAAGTAGATCGTGGGGTAGCTCATCTAGAAGCCAGTCCATGACAAGTCCCCCTTCAATGCCGCCTTGGCTGTGAAGAAGCAGAACCACCTTGTCACAGTCGGGGTCTAGGAGGGCTTCCTTGACCAAGGCATACGACCGTCGTATATCGTCAGTAGCATATGAAAAATCACGTTGAATCAGACATTCGATGAGATCAAAGACAATGCCTGCGCTATTAATCAATAATTATCATTAGTGTTTGCAAATCTGAGATTTCTGACGGCACTTACGTGCGGTTATGCACTCCCGTCACTTTCCGACCAAAAGTGTATGACAGTTGATCGATGTTCATCTGTACCCAGTGCTTCCTAGAAGTAATTCAAGTTAGTAACTAAAATCAGAGAAACAGGGGCATATCTCTCCCACCTACCCAGCTGCAATTCCATTAATATACAGCCAACGCTCCCGCTCATGACCTGATCGCTCGACCACGGGCACTTGGGATACCAGAACCCGCTGGAAGCCGTTCAACATCAACATTATGATCGCATAATTAATAGTGAAAGCCATCGCAGAATAAGCAAGGATCCATAGGCCTGGAAGCATACAGATAACCATGATCGGCAGCGAGAGCAGGACAACAAGTTGATAAACCACGAGAAATAGATGGATCAACACGATAGCTCCATTGCGTAACGATGGATAGAGCTCATCCAACTCATGGGTGCGATCTAGATGCAGGGGCAGTAGGATACCCGGAAGCGCCCATAGTTTCGAACCCAACAGGGACAAGTCACTCCAGAGCAACTTGATGGGTGAGGCAGTGTAGGGCAATGGGGTACCCTCCTTACCCTGACAAGTCATTGTGGGACGTGGCCAGCAGTAGAAGTGACACGATGAGATGTAACCGAAAAGAAGAGGAAGTGTTGTCATGTGATACGCATGAGGTTTTTTAACTTATGACTTCATCTGCTGGCTTGCCGGATGGACTCCTTTTGTACCTTTTTGTTTTCTTTCATGTTCAGTGATTGGAGTGACATGATTTTGAAATCGTCGAATGAGAAAGGAGAATTTCAACGAACAAGGTGGCGCATTTTTCGACGATTGTTGCCGCGGAAAAGATATCTTCGGTTGATCTTCATGCCAGCATGGCGCATTTCACTTTGATGCCATCGCGCAATAACTTTGGCAGCGGTAGCAATTGAAACATCACTAGGATTCCAGTATCCAGGGACACGGAGGGATAGACACCATTTGACATCGTGATGGACGGGTTCGGACGAAATGATACCGTCTCGGGCATCGATGCGAGCCACCACAAGCTCCATCAATTCTTCGTCGTTGTGGTTGTAGTCAGCCCAGTTGAAGAAGACAGTCACCCATTGGTTTGCTCTATTCGAATTGCATTCCTCGCGAATGTTTCGTCCGTTTGGATAGTTGAACATTCCTCGAAGATTGACACGCTTTTTTGCTTTCTTTGTGACTTGAGAGGAGTCAATAGCCGAGACTTGGTTTCCCATGGTGTAAATAAATGAGATAGATAGAGATCGACAAGACAAGAAATGAAGAAAAAAATGAGGCAAAAGGACGAGAATGTGAGACAAGGCAGGTCTAATATATTGTACAGGGCCCAACGAACAAAGGCCATTGATAAGTTCATTAATAGTGCAATTCATTGTAGCCATAGACCGATCAAGGCCATTCCCTTTGATGATCACAGAAACACCAATTGGACACTGCAAGAAAAAGCGTTGATTTCTTTGAGGATTGAAAAGACATTGTGTTGTGGTATTTATATCATGAAAGCACGCCGAGAACACCCCGCTTTGTTGGGAGTATATAAAATGCGTGGTTAAGACGGACTTCTTCTTCCTGTGGAATATCAAGACTAACCTCAAACCATTAATCCAGACTACTAAGGTGCCTGGTACACAATTTGTGACACGAGCGAACGAAGACACTATAGTGACTACATCCCATTCCAAACCATTCCAAACAAGTAGCACTTGAATCTGACCTCTAAACTCCTCGTTGCTTTCAACTAGGAGAAAGCAAAGATCATCCGAAGTCGATCACAGGGATACCACCAAATCCTCCATTAATAATGGAAAAAGATGGAGGGTGGTTTGAAAACAGACAAGACACAATCGGTAGACGTAGATCCCTTTTCTCAGGACAAAGAGACTACCAGTTTGTCACTGACCTGAGAAGAGACGAACTTAAAAAGCTGACAGAGATCTTGCACATAGACAACACAAGAGCGAGACACGCTGACGAGGTTGTCAAGCGATTAATCCACGAGCTGCCAAAGAATATGCGCCGTGATCGCTGGTCCAGAACGAACAAGGATTTGTGCAATGACCATCAGGGTCTGAATGCAGATCTCATCGCCGATGTGTTCAATCTGATACAGAGGGAAGTCGGCCATCACCTTCGCAAGTTTGAAGCGTATCCGGATTTGCTGAAGCCGCTCGACATATTGATCCTGCACAAACTACAGGCTATACAGGGCATGTGGGAGAAACCTGACCCGAAAGACCAGGTTATCGCAGAAAGATGGCACTATGAGATCAGCTGCTGTCAGGGGTGTATGGTGGCTCGAGTTGCGAGTGACAAGCATGCATTGCGCAATCTTCGGATCGCCCTGCTCTCTCGCACCCAAACACGTTTGAACCACGTCCCAAGAAGACTTATGAAATTTGTCGACACCTGCATTGACTTATTTCCCGACGACGTGGATGAGCTATATGGCACATCCAGCCAGTTTGCGTTCATCCTAAAGGATACCCGCAAAGTCTGCAGCAAGGCTTGGTCCCAAGACCCAGCACATACGGATTCGAGTCCCCCACATCGGAGGCACATAAATCATGACAAGAGTGACGGAAACAAAAAGACGGGAAAGAGTGCACGTAGCAAAAAACCTGTCAGTGAGTATAACCCGAGGAAGAAGTATACCCAGCCACCACCACCAATCACATTATCCCACCCTGCGGAAAGGTATGTCCCTAGATCTTGCTCGTCCTCTCAATTTACTGACACTGATAACGAAGGGCGCAGAAAATATCGCCCAAGGTCGAGCCCTTCCCGGAAGCCTTCGAGATCATCCTACCACATGGAGCGAGATCGACGCTCAGACCCGAACCCGGATCGGGTCACTAGGCTCATAGATTTCGCCGATGACAACTACCAAGGATTGCGAATCAGCATGGAAAGACAGAGTGCAAATACTGTCTATGAGCCTCCTGGGAACCCCCTGGCACCCGCCACTGCAAGCACTGTCTTGAGAATTATCGAGGCGATCGATGAGTTGCTTGAGATGTACAAGAGTGTGGGAAGAAACCACCGCTTGCGAAGCGCTCAATACTGCCCAATGCGTGGGAGTAGCGGCGTCACATCACGTTGTCGCTCCCCGTCGATCTGCTCCACTGACAGTAGGTCAACTGATGAAGATGAAGACCAGAGAAAGCCGGAGAGTGACCCAGCAGCGAGGACTGCTTGGAATCTGTTGCATGAATAGTCGAATCTGATTTGATCTCCTCTCCTGATCACTCTCATTTCGTTGTCTTCGCATCTCGTCTGGGCGCTCTGTTTCTTGTGTGGTTTTGTTTTCATTTCATTTATGATATATCCTTGGTGATTGTCGTTTTCTGATGTCAATGTGGTTTTCTTTGTTGTACGTCCAGGTCTGAGAAAAGCTTGTTCATGATATTTGCAGATGTATCGAATAGACACCGAATACAGAAAGAAAAATGTAAATAGCAAATAATAGACATTATTGACAGTAGGTCATAGAGCGATCCATGTACAAAGCATTGACTGGCGCATTCTGAAAAATTAATACATTGGGCCATTGATCCCATATACAAAAATGACGGAAAGCCCCACGGTCTGGCGGAGACGGCCAGCAGCTCCAGGGACGGGGTTGGGGGATGCGTAAGAAGAAATCGACACATGTTTAGGCTTCAGCTCACCACGGCTTTAGTTGTGGAGAACACTGCCAGGAACTCCATGACTCGGGCCCTTGAGACTGTCAACAGTCTTTCGGCGGAGCCGAGTGCGGGTCGCAGGCCCCTCAGGTGATACTACTACCCGTTCATGTTCACGATCCTCGGTCACAGTGACAATCGGCATTGTTTTCAGTGCCTGGGCAGCATCTAGGTCCACCTGCTTCTGGGCATTCTCTCGAGCTCGCTCGTAGCGCAGCTTGACCTCACCATTCCACTGAGTGCCAAGAAGGCGGTCCCAGAAGATGAAGAAAGGCTGGGAGAAGTTGGTCTTGATACCCCAGCTTTGATGATGAATGTCGTGGTAGGCGGCGTTGTTGGAGGTGAAATGCTGCAATGGATCCCAGGGGAAGGCATACCCACAGTGGTCGTCGACAGTTTTGATAGTCGACATCGTAAAGAACCACATGGCTTGGCGGGTACTCATGCCGGAGACCAAGAATCCAATACCAGTGCCAGCCGTGTCCAAGAGGAATCCCTCGAATGGGTGGTTGTAGAGGGCACCGAAAGCGTAAGGAACGTAAAGACGGTGGTGGCGGGAGTGGAAAGTCGCTAACGGCATGTCAGTAGGGAACCATCAATCAAACTTCGAAACGTCAGACGTACCATAGAGCCACCGGTTCATATGCATAGCGCGGTGGAGAAAGTACTGCCAAGTATCCACAATAGAAATCGCCAGTATGAACTGGAGTGCCGGGACAAAGTACCAATAAATGAAACCGGCAACTGCAAGTTCCCAGCTCGTGAACGCGGGCGCGACGGCCTTGGCTCCGTTGTCAAGGATTATGGACTGGGTCACACTGGGGTATGATCCACCAGCCAGAGCTCCGGCCAACATGGTATAACCGTTTTGAGACATCGAATTTGCAAGATTGAGAGCGTCAACTCCACCAAGAGCTAATAACGATGGGACAGCCTTTTGGGCGATCCGCAATCGCTGCGCCCACACGGCCACATCAAATTCCTCTCTCCCAACAGTTTCCTCGGCGTCAAAGTATAAGAATGCAAGGCCAGCCACGGTTTGAATCACCTGTTGTAAGATAACATCTCGTACAACTTCCAAGCGGGTCACTTTGTTTCGTTTCAAGACTTCTGCGGGGGTGTGGAGCCGGTATTCCACGAAGTAATTATTGACATCGAGGAAATGATATATCATGGACAGGCCCCAGTAAGCGACGACAGGCAACATGAGCGAAAGCACATTATCAGGAAGAGGAGCAAGCAAATTCTCTCGCGCGGTCAAGGTATAGGTTGGGAGGGGAGGTAGGTCGAACGCGACGGATGCGTTTACAGCCATGGCGGAAGACTGGCGATCGAAAATATTTAGGAATCAATATCTCGGATATCGAAAGGATCTCAGTGTCAGAAATCAGGGTAAAGAAAAGAGAGTGGATGTTCGCAACTGCCCACCACTCCGAAGTCCGGATGTTGACGGGTAGGCGCGACACAGGATGAATCCTATCAGTAAAAGACCTCTCGGCGCTGGCCGGGTACAAACCAAATTAAGTATGTAAAGAAAAAGAAACAAAAGCGAATCAGATAATGATGAAGGAAAAGAATAGGAAATGCTCGAAGATAAAGATGAACGTTCTGATCAGGAGACGCCCGGATTCGGGTGGCGCGAGCCGGAGCCAAGACAAACCAGTAAAGTACATGTATTGACAGTATCTTTGGTATGAATGACTGATGGGAGCAAGGATTTAGAGTATGGTATGGTATCGAATGGATTTTTGCTGACTCAGTTCTATACTTCGACCTGGACAGCCCCAAAGGGAAGTAAATTGGTTGCAACAGTGAAAACGAAGATCAATTGAATTTGGCTAATCACTTAAGGCTGCTCTATTCTCTTCAAAATTGAAGAAGTTTTTTTAAATATGCTAGCATTTGTGTATGTATTTTATACCCCAACCGCATTGTACTTTTGAAGTACCTTGAAGTACCACATACTGCGCTAACACAGAGCCAGTGGCGGTGGCCCAGACTCTCTGATACCCAAGCGGTACAAACTGAACAAACACAAATCCCCCGCTCTATTTTTTTTTTTAAAAGAAAAACCTCGTCCCCCCACCTAAAAAGTGTTTTTCTTCCCTCCCGTGCCACTTTGCTTTCTTACACTCTTCGTTTTCTTAAACATATAATTCCGCCAAAATGCTTATCTACACTGTAAGTCTGCCAATATCAGATCCTTGGATTTACCCCTTCTTGTTTGCAGGTGAACCTCAACTGACAAAATCCACCAGGACATCGTTTCCGGTGACGAGATCGTCGCCGATACCTTTAACCTTGTCCCAAACAAGGATTTCGATATCCTTTGGGAGTGTGACTGCCGCAAGTACCTGAAGCGTGCCAACGAGGACTTCCAGCTCGAGGGTGCCAACCCCTCCGCCGAGGAAGCTGAGGAGGAAGGTGGCGAGGGTGAGGCCACTATGGTCCACGACATCGAGGACCAGTTCCGTCTGGTCTGGCTGAAGGTTGAGGACGGCGCCAAGCCCTCCAAGGAAAGCTACAAGGCCCACATCAAGTGTATGCTCGCCTTCAAATCTTCACCTGTTGGTCCACGCAAATCACTGACTCTTGTTCTTTGAATACAGCATACCTCAAGAAGCTCCACAAGAATGCTTCCGCCAAGTTCGCTGAGGATTCGAATCCCGCAGAGGCCGAGAAGGTGTGGAAGACCAAGGCCGCTGGCGCTATGAAGAAGATCCTTGCCAACTGGGACAACTACGATGTTCTCATGGGCCAGTCCATGGACGGTGATGCCATGTACGTCTCCAGATTCTTACCTTTCCTTTGGAATCTGAAACTGACCTGTTTCTAGGCACGTCTTGATTGACTTCCGAGAGGATGGTGTTACCCCTTACGCCACCGTTTGGGCCGATGGTCTCAAGGAGATCAAGGTTTAAGTAACTCTTGTCATCCCCAAGCAGGCGACAGTAAAACGCACCCTACACGAACAAATACGTTTGGGACGAATTGCGAGTTACGGTTCAGACGCAGCGGCTACTTATTCCCCTTCCCTGGGCCTGTCTGTCCTAATAACCATCTCGCATTTTTCGTATCCAAAGCTAGTGATCAATTGGATCATCAAGAGTTACGCTTCATGAAATCATCTGTCTTGTCTTATTTTTTTTTCGTGGCTTGTACTATGTAGTCTGTCTTTGGTCTGATTGATTCATTGCCCCCATGCTCTCCCCCCAAAAGAGTCATTTCATGTCACCAAAATACGTGAAGCGACATCAATCATCAGGTTCATGTGTCTATTTGCGGATTAATGGATAGATGATTCTATATCTACACTAAGGGCATTTGGAATATCCCAGTCCATCAGCTCCATCGTTCTCATTCCACGACGCGAAACTCTCCTCTGGAGAGGAGGTTGGAAGTGGAATACCATTGACATAGGAAGTAGACGTGTCGATAGAACTGAAGCCATTTAACGTTGAGGCAATTCTGGTATGGGTCAAATCAAGACCCGAAACGGGGTCCAATTCCATCAGATCATCTGCAACAGGAAGATGTTGACCGAACACAGCATCCCACTGGTCCCAGTCGAAGTTGAAATTGGGGTCGACTATCGATGGCGGTGTGGGAACTCCTGTAGGCAAAACATGAAAAGGCGCAGGGTCCATGAAGGGCATTCCAACAGAAGCAGCAATGTCAGAATCTGAATACTGAGCATGTGAGGCGGGAGGAGTGGATGCAGAAGATTGTGTAGGCGGAGGTGCACCAAATGTGGGGTCCGTATTGGGCGAGGAGGCACTAGTGCCGGGAGGTATGGGATAACCGGCTGGGGTGAGATGGAATTGGGAATGTGAAACTGGATGTAAGGGTTTATCCTGCGGTTGGCATTGGTGTTGCAAACGGCTTTTAGTAGCAATCGGAGTAACAGGATTCGAGAACGTGTGGAAGCGGGGGGGGTTGTGTGTTGAGGGATGACTGGGTGATGCTGAATCTGGAGATCCGGCGTGAGAGGGATCTGAGCAAGGAGAGTCAGAATCCCCGCGAGAGTCAATTGATGAAGCGACCCCAGCCTGGATCTGGTCTTTTTCGGTCCAGAGCATTCGCGGATTGAGGCCAGCCTTTTGCCAAGCCTTCTGGCGAAGACGGCGAATCATATCCCAGGCTTCGCGGCCACCGTCCTTCAATGGCCGTTGTGTTGAGACACCGTCTTCACCACCCACGACGCCTCCATCCGGGCCAGAAAGTGCGAGTATGCTATCGATGAACGCGCGGGACCTGGATGCTTCAGGGCTGTAAGGTCGCTCATATAGGTCAATAAGCATGATCCTGCATCTTATTAGTGTGGTTGTCAACACCTGATGATAAAGTCATACATAGTAGCATGCATCGGTTGATGATTGCTAAAAAGGAGATATTAGTTGCCTCTGATTCTAGGTCACCATGCTAGCGAAAAGCCTACCCAGGCCAGCTCCAGTGAAAGGGCTGGAAATCAGGATCCGTTGCGAGTTGGATGAACTTTTCCATGAAACCGTGGCAGTGCCGAAGGGCACTATCAATATCAGTACGTGTACCCATTTTTTGAAGGTGTGTGCAAACCTCTGGCGTGCCGCTGGCCAAATCCGGCTGCGAGCGTTCTTCAGAAAAGGCTGGTAGGCCACGCAGAAAGCCCATAAGGAAGGTCAGTTGAGTGTGAAACCAGTAATGATCAAGAAGGCGCACCTTGTCAATATACAAGGAAAGGATGATCTTCGCCCATTTGTGGAAAAAGACAAGAACCGGTGAGTGATAGTGTTCTGGGCATCCGGTGGGACCTTCGCCTGGAAGCTTTGCGTTGGAAGAGTGGCCCACGGGAGATTTAAACATGGAATCCGCTTGGTCTGTCATTGCCAATTTATCAACGTCATTCCCCACTGGAATCCGGCGGATGATGGAATTCAGTTTCAGCTGCAAGTCAAGAAGTATGGACCGGAGATCCTCCATGTCCTGCCTGGTGAGGGGCGTTATTCCAAGCTGGATTTTCAAGATTCGGCGGACAGCGCCTGATTATCATTAGCATGTGGGTTTCGAATCTTAAAAGGGTACCAACGAGCCATGATATATTTCCCCCTTGCGGTGAGGTAGTAGACGTTGACCATTGATGGCCCGCCGCATATAGCGGGATCATCAGGATTATCAGGCAGCCGCTCCCGCGAAGCAACCTGTTCCATGTAGGACTCTGCAGCGGGGGTACCTAGCATCGTATCTTTCAGTTCACTCGTCTCGCACACATCACAATAATTCTCGTCATTGACAAGTGGGGGCAGACCACTTGACATTGCAACGACACCGTCCATATGCATAATGTGCCACCATAAACGGCGTCGATACTCAGCTTCACATGGCTCTATGCCAAACTTAGCTGGATCCCGGTGCAAGCCCATGGTTTGCGCAACCCTCATCGCGAGACTGACAAAGAGACTAGTGGTCAAAGGCTCTTCCTCCTTCGTGACAATTGTCTGCACGATAAGGTAGGCAGCGAGGCCTTGAAGTGAAGGACTGCGCGGGAATTTGATATTCGTCAGCCATCTGGTAACTTCCTCATTGTAGATTGTCAAAAGAGCCGACCGAGAGGATGCATTGAATTCAGCTTCGATTACTCGCATCGAAATGGTCACCGAGCCGCCATACCATATAGCGTACAACAAAGGAAGAAATGAGGGATTTGGGCACGACTCTCCCGAATAGCTGCTGTAGTCATACCAATCCCAGAAGGCCCTGTAAAGCTTGAGGATAGATGGTGGATGAATGACAGGACTGATGGCGTGTATACCGGAAATGAATCCTTTGTAAAGAATATGACTTTGCCGTCTGGTTGGAATGTGGTCAAGCATTTCTGGCTTTACCACATTTTCATTGATTGAAGGAGAGTCACCCGAAGGGAAGAGTATAGATTGATGGAAGGAACGAGACCTAGGCGCGATTAAAGGTGTCGAGCTGCCTGTTGACTCTCTCCAGGACTGTCGACCATCGGCATGCGAATCTGTTATGTATTCATTATTCTTTACAGGAGTAGACTGATCGTGTGAGCTATTTTGATCTCTCAGCAATTTATTGAGCTCATTGATCTAAATGCGAGTTAGTCAAAATGGTCTACCCGTCGGAAAATCCAGTGGGAAGCATACTTCACCAGAGATATAAGCCCAGTACGTGGTGCCAACATATCTAGTTTTAGTCAGAGACTTTTGCATTTCGAATAAAGGTCAATGTTGACCAACCTTGACCTTCCACCGTCCTCTAGGCTCAAATGTCCCAGGTTCAGACTGCCAACCGGGTCTACTAGGTCGGTGGCCTGACCGGATGGGATTGGAAATTCATCACTGCTTGACTCTGCAGCAAAGACATGTGGGCTGGTAGATCTTGATGGTGTTTTATTGCCGTTCAGATCATTGCTCGCCCGTGGGTCATCCAACTGGGTGGGGTCCACTTTCACATCCTGGGCCGTTGCCTGCATCCTCACGTCCTCAAATGTTTGACCGCTCTCTCCGAGGCGCTCAATCATTAACATAAGCTTGTCAAGTCGCAATTCAATGGCGCTTGGGTCGGGCTTTTCGCCTGTCGTCTGTGCCCGCCTTAAATGCCCATAAAGTGACCGGAGCTCGTCGACATCCTCCTCCAAGGTCCGGGACATCTCTCGCCTTCGTTTAACACCGTGCGCGTTATGGGAAGAGCCATCACGCCCATCGTCCTCTTTTTGGGATGGCACATTATATATACATTCGGTGTTGTTCTTCACGCAGTTTCCACATCTCGGATGTATCTGTCGGAGATGCATGTTAACTTAAAGTAAGAATTTCGGTATTGGTGGCAATCTGATCAACATACCTTGTTGCACTTGACCTTCCGACGCCGACACGTGTGACAGCTGTAGCTCGCGCGGTTTCGGGTGATCTGGCGACCCCCAGCCAACGGTCCCCTCAATGATGGAGTAAACGAGCTGACAGGGACGGAAGGACCCGGTATGGGCTGAGCACTGGATGGACTCTGGTTCATAGTCCCTGGCAATACCTGCAAATGTCTTAATGCTTCGCATGGAAATGCGCAAACCCCAAAAACCAGCACTTCGGGGACTGCGGGGTGACGGTATCGGAGAAGCCCTGGAGAGGATGACCAATGATATCACTGCATGAGGTCAGCCATTGGTGCCTGAATTGGCCGGCATAAAATCATTCGCTCTCTTCTTGCCCCTTCTCGCGCTTCGGCGGTTCAATGCTGTGGGTTCTGCACACTATCCAAGAACACACAGACCAGCGGAAGTGACCGATCTTCCATATCTCATCGCCAATCCAGGTTCAATTTCAGGAAAGATGGACCTCGAACTGGATGTCTAAGTGACTGTCAGAAGTCGGACAGGGATTCTAGTGTGCAACGAATGATTTTCAAAAGACATGGTTGTTTTAGGATGGTCAGAGCCCCAATTGACTGTGGTTTTACGTTTCTCATAGTTCTACCTGAAACCCGACGGTTTGCTGCAGAATTTGTCTCTCTGCTTCTCACCACATGCGCTATTACAAGAAGCGTCTTGCAGATGTTAGCCAACCAATCCCCAAACCTGAAACCGAGACAAGCCCCCTCCCAAAGTACCAAGTGCCCTAGAACTTGGTGTTCGCTGTAGTAGAAAGCTCTAATAGAAACAGGAAATCTAACAATCAAAACCTAACGATTCCTCATACATTCCCTCGGGTAACATTACATCAGAAATCGAATACTCTCAACGATGAGTTTCGGAGTAGGCGTCGGGGACTTGCTTTCCATTCTCACTTTGGCTCATAAGCTCCGAAGAGATTTTGTTGACGCTCCACGCCAGTTCAATAGTATATCCAGAGAGTGCGTGGATACAAACATAGGCCATGAACCAGGAACGGATGTTTTTCGATCTTCCAGGGTCAGGGGATTGGCAAATGTTCTCCAAGACGTCGATGTTCAACTACTGGGTCACGAGAGCAATGGTCGCCAACAAAAGCAATTAGGAGACCTTGGTCACAGCTGTATGATGCTATGGAAAAATACATAGTTGTTGAATACTGCGGTACATCGATTCACAAAAGAGCTAGAAGCATTTGGAAGAGGATCTCGTGGGAGCCAGAAGAGATAGGCGAGCTTCGGGGTCGCTTGATATCTAACGTGATATTGCTCCAGTCATGTTTGAGTTCGTTGTCAAGGTATCATATACTCATAGACTTCCCCTCTTCAACTATACTCGGCGCCCCGGGAAATATCAAGATCTGACCTCCGTAGTCAAACGATGGCTGCGACAAAAGAAACACTGGAACAACCCAACCACCGTCAAGAAAGCAATGAACGGTCCTGCATTCTAGTCTGGCTGTCTGCCGTTGATTACACGTTGCAGCAGAGTGATCTCCTTAGTCGACGACAGGCAGGAACTGGGCAATGGCTTCTCGCATCGAATGAACATGAGCATTGGCTTGACACCCCCGAGCCACCCTGTTTTGTCCAGGAATGCCAGGTGCGGGAAAGACCATCTGTTCTGCTATCCTTGTCGATGATTTGATGACGCACTTTGAGGAAAAGCCAGATGTCGGCATAGGCTACCTTTATTGCAACTTTAATCGACAAGGTGAGCAGAGGGCTCAAGACTTGCTGTCAAGTCTGGTAATGCATTTATGCAAGAAGAGAACATCTGTTCCGGTTGCAGTCAAGGACCTCTACAAGCGCTACAAAACCGCACCGATGCGTCCGCGATTCGGTGATGTATCGAAAGCCCTAACCTTCGTTATCGCTCTGTATTCCAAAGTGCTTATCGTCATTGATGCCCTCGATGAGTGTGAAACAACTTGCCGTACAAGATTTTTGGGCGAGATCGGCAAAATTCATGCTGGGCCGGGGGCAAATGTCTTCGCCACATCAAGGCCCACGGAGAGAAATTCTTTCTCAGGCGTCGACTGGTTCATTATATAACGCAAGAATATCTCACGCGGAAGAAAGATCTATTCTTTCCTAGCGCCGAAAATGAGATCAGCCGGTTGTGTGTCACTTACATTTCAATTGACACATTTGGATCTGGGATCTGTTAAAGCGATGAAGCGTTCGAGGAGCGTTTACAATCCTATCCATTCTACCATTATGCGGCATATCATTGGGGCCACCATGTAAAATTGGCCGGAACTTTACAACCTGCTGTGATGGACATTTTGAAAGATCTGCCAAAACTTGATGCCTCAGAACAAGCAATCCATGTGAGGAGGCACTCAAGCCTAAAAGGTTGGAGCCAGAAATTCCCGAGGTAACGAATGGGCCTGCATCTCACTGTATCTGGTGGAATTGAAGAAGCTGTGTCTTACTTTCTTCGATATGGGTGCCCCGTGGACATTTGTCACAACGGTGGTGGGACTTCAACGTCTACGTGCTGCCGATGTTGGTGGCCTTTTGAGTTCCCCTCCTGGTGGAATCAGCGAAGGAAATAGTGCTACAGGAACTAGTGAAGATGAGACTAGCACCGAACTGACCACGTGGCAAATATGTAATGGCCATAGGATTAATAGAGCTATCCTTCGGGGTGGTTTTTGCTCTCGTGCCTTTTGTTGTGGGAACTGGAGATGTGATGATTTCTTGCCAGATCGTGTTCTCGTGGTCAATATTCAACAAACCATGCGGCATGTAGGGAGTGTTCAGCCGTATAACATATTCAACTACAATATGTAATTGGCAAAAAAGATCTTTCATGAGGGAAGAACAAGTTGCTCCTCCTCGGGCCAAGTAACAAGGGTGGTTGCATCACCGGTCAAAGTAAATGAAAGCACGGCCGAACGTTCATTGTTCAGTGTAAGCTCATACTTGCCGGGATACACAATGCGGTTACCTCTCTCATCTGTGCGTGCCACGTTGTCTAGTGTGATCGGAATGGTCATGGTCTGCGTGGTACGGGGACTAATTCCACCGAGGCGATCAAAGCCAACCAGCCACTTGTTAGGATGTGGGCTTGGTCCCGCTTTTGTGTTGACAAAGGCCATAGCGGTATAGTCAGACGTGACGTTACCGGTGTTCATAACTTCAACGGTGTAGTTTATGAACGGGATTTGTTCGACCACGCTGTATCCGGCGTTGGGGCGTGAGAGGAGCTGCACAATGTCGAAGGAAGTTCCGTTCTCGGCTCCATGGAAGTGAGCGAGTGATACCTTGAATGTTGTATAGAACAGCCCATGGCCAAACTCGTAAACTGGCTTGCCTGTATACCACATGTAGGTTTGCCCAGGATTGTTGCCTTTAGGGCGCAAGCTCATGTCGGTAGCAGGAAATTGAAGAGCATACTCAGCAGGGTATTGAGTGACTGTCAAACGACCAGCGGGTGCACGCTTTCCAGTGAGAATGTCCAGAATTGCAGGACCCCCGGATTGTCCCGGGTAACCACCCCAAACCAGAGAGTTAACGTTTTTGTTGGCTTTGAGCGACGAAGAGTCAACTTGGCCACCACCCATTTGAAGAACAACTAACGGTTTACCCAGCTTACTCAACTGCTCAATCAGCTGAAGCTGATTGCCAGGCCAGGTGATGCTTTCGCGATCCACTCCCTCTGCCTCGACCGTGTTGTCAATTCCGCCGGCGAAGATAATCACTTCGGATTTCCCCGCAGCCGACAGAGCCGCTTCAAATCCAGAAGTGGAATCGGAGGAGATATTGGTGCCGAAAGCATAGTTGACATCAAGATTGGAGGCCTGTAGGGCAGCGAGCGGGCCGGTGAGATAGGGCGCTGCGCCATAGTAGTTTCCCTGCAATGTAGTGGTTACATTTGCCCATGGTCCAATCAATGCAACGCTGCGGGTGTTATTGGACAGAGGTAGAGTGCCATCGTTCTTGAGAAGAACAATGCCTTCTACGGCAGCCTCATATGAAATGTTCCATGCATCAGTGGCAACAACGTCAGGCCAATGAAGATGTCGATATTTGCTGTTGTCACCATCAAAGTAGCCCAAACTGACCAGAGTAGAGTAGAAACGAGTGACAGCACGTTCAATTTCACTGCGAGAGATCTCGTCATGGGATAGCGACTCATTCAGATAGAGTTGATATGTCGCCCCACAGTCAATATCTGTGCCTGCCTGTATACTTTTTGCCGCAGCGAGCGAGGCACTTGAGGCATATCCGTGGGGGTTGAAGACATTAAAGACAGCATCGCAGTCAGAAGAAACATAGCCATCCTCAACAAAATTCCAAGTTTCACGAAGCAGAGTTTGGAGCAAGAACGAATTAGCCGATGAGGGAACACCATTGACTGCGTTATATGATGACATCACGCTATGAACTCTTGCATCTCTCACTGCTGTGATAAATTGAGGGGTGTAATAGCTAGCCAGGTCGAATGAGCTGATGGCCACATTATTCCCCAGTCTTGAATGGTTGCCCCAATTCTCAAGGTCATAACCAGCGAAATGCTTCGCTGTCGCCGCCAACTTCAAATCCCTTGGGTTCAAGCCACCCTGAATGCCTGTTATGTACTCAACCCCGTAAATTGAACAGAGTTGGACATCCTCGCCTGGAGTTTCCTGCCCACGGCCCCATACGGGGTGGCGGAAGGAATTGATGTTGGGTGCATATACATCAAGCCCATACCGACCCCCATTATTGAATGCTCTGCCTTGAGTTGATATAATTTCACCGATTTGATTGATCAAGGTGCGGTTCAGGGCAGCCATGATGAGGATGGGGGATGGGAACGAGGTCGCCCAGCTGTAGTCCCCGGATTCGGTAAGATTTGCACGATCCAAACCATGTAGAGCTTCGCTCCAAACCTGATAAGGTGGAAGGCCCAGTCGGGGAACTGCAGGAATGACATTTCCAGTACTGTTCACGAGTTCTTCTAAGGTGAACATGGACGTGAGGGCAGCCGCTCTGTCGTGTGGCTTTGCGGTGGTGTCGCAGACAATCGTCTTGCTGAGTGGGCCATTGGAGCAGTCTGGGAAAGAAAAATCGACATGTGCCATCGTTTCAGAGTAAAGATTCGGTTGTGGCTCGGTATTGTAGTCCACAAAACTGGTGTTGTCCTGGGACAACGCGGTTGGCGCGAAGGCCACCAGCAAGGTAAGGAGCGAAAGTACAGGCATTTCAGAAAGGCTGTCTTTGAAAATAAATCCTCATAACTCTTTGCTCATAACACAAGAATTAACTTATAGTCTGGGGTATGAAGAGATCCCCCCACACATCTGGACCCATGTTGGAAGTTTTACCGTCGATCACAAGGGATCCCACACAGAGTCGGGGTTTCCCCGCGATTGAACGTTTGAAATGAACTATTTAGCCTGAAGTCCTTGTTGTCCCGAGTCCTGTCGATTAGGTCATCCGGTGGCTGTCAAAAGGTGCATGGGTAGATCCTTGAACACCGATTCAGCCTTGCTATAGCTTCAACAAGCATATGGACACCTGGTTAGATGCTCTCTCTTCGTTCACGAAAAGTGGTGCTACCTACAAACCACCTCCAAAATAAGTTATTCAAGCCAGAAGCCATCTGCTGAGGTAATGATGGGATTTGTGGGGGTGAGTTTAGCCTAAACTGGCCCCTAATACTGATGCTGAATGTGTCTCTGGCACATTGCAGTTCTCAAAAGAGGCCTAACCCCCGCAGGACCGGGTAATGGGCAAAATTGATCTGCCGATTTGCCGATGTCTATGGCCTTTGGGAGATGAACTACACCGTGGTTGATTAGAGATGCCCAAGCACACAATGCCCTTCCCAGCATCGTTCGGAGTTGATAGAGACCAGGAGAGTCCATGGTAGTTGAATACCTATAGTTCAATGGTTTCAATGAGACGCGGGATATTGATTGACTGGAGTCACAACAACCTTGTCATCGTCTTTTAAAAGGGACGTCCTATAGCGCGTTTACATATAAGACAAGGAGGGAAGGGCGTAAATCAGGAGACGGCTAGGCTTCTGAATAGATTATAATACAAGAATAAGCTGTACAGACCAACACGGAACCACTCATAGAAACTAATACATCGCAGACACATATTAGACCAGGCTAGCCACGTTTGACCTCTTGCTCGAGCTTCTCCAAAGCCGTAGCGTATTTGGGCTTGAGTGAGTCTAGTGCGTCTGCCTTGATCTGGACACGATCGATGTTCGAGGTACGCGTGATCCGGCCATCCACACTAGCTGCAATCTCATTGGCAAACCAGCGGCCCTCACGATGAGCAACCAAGGACCACGCAGAGCCTGCGCGGCCAGCACGGGCGGTACGTCCAACTCGGTGGACGTAAGTGGTAATGCTGGTCGGGATATCGTAGTTGATGACATGAGTCAAAGATTGCAAGTCAAGACCACGAGAGGCACGATCAGTAGCTACAATCACTGAAATGCGGCCTTGTCGGTACGCCGTCAGTGTCTTGCGAGATGCAGAGGATTTGTTGGATTTAATGATAGTTCCCACGCGCTTGGCCAATGCGGGATGCAGAAGCGAAATGAGACGTGCGAGTCGGGAGGCAGACTCGGATGATTTGGTGAAAATCAAGACAGTCTTACGCAAGGGCGAGGGAGCGAGTTCCAAAGCATCGGACTCCGAGTCTTCAGAATCTTCAGAATCTGACTCCGAGTCTGAGTCTGAATCCGAGTCGGACTCCGAGTCTGACCCAGAAGATGAAGTGACGTCATCAGAGCCGGTATCATCGTCGCTGCTGGTATCATCATCTGAACTAGAACTGTCAGAGTCGGATGAATCAGACACGCTTGGAGCGCGGTCTCCACTAATCTCAATGTGCGAAAGAAGAAGACGTAGCAGATAAAGCGGCTTGAGAGATCCGTCGCCAACTTGAACGACGTGCTCGGATAGAGTTGGGGGTAGGGCGAAATGAGCATCTGGATGAGTAGCAGATGGATCTTCTTCGTCGGCAGCATCCTCAGACCCGATGATAACCATCTTGGGGTTAACAAGGCGCAGCGAGTTGAGTTTAGAAATGTCGCGAGTCATTGTTGCACTCAGAATCACCTTCCGAGGCGGCTTGGCGTCAATCGAAAGTCCCAGTTCAGACAGAACCTTTCCACCAGGACCAAAGGTCTCGGGGGCTTCTCGACTATTCAGTGAGTTCATGACGACATCAACCCACTCTTGGAAGCTTTCGTTCAAGAGACGATCGGCTTCATCAATCACCAGCCATTCAAGATGCTTGAGAGTGAATCCCTTGGTGTAGCGAATGTGGTCAACCAGACGACCAGGAGTGCAGATCAGGATGTCAACATTCGGTTCGGATCGCTGGATGTGGCCCGGAAGAGACCCGTTGGAGCCAATTGCCTCACTGATACAATCTTCCAGGCTCAAGTTCATCCAGTCATTTCCGTTCAATCCGTCACGCTGTTGCTGTTGAATAGCCGGGTTGTAAACCTGGTCCATGCGCATCAAGAGTTTCTGCTCGTCTTTGATAGCCACATTACCAACTGCGCTTCCGATGTGAAGTCTGGATCCAGAAGCACATAGTTCGCAGGATTCGCGAGCTTGTTTGACCAGCTCTCGTGTGGGAACTACAATCAATCCTCTAAGTCTGGAAGCAGATCTCGGTGGTAGAGCTGTAACAAGGGGGAGAACATATGAAAGTGTTTTTCCGGACCCAGTCGCCGCAGAGATACACAGATCTCCTGGGTGGTTTCGGTCTCCTTGCAAAAGCAGCGGAATGACGGTAGATTGCACAGCAAAAGCTTGTTTGTAGTTCTGCTGTTCCAGGATTTTCAGAAGGTCTGACTTGATTCCGAGTTCGGAAAATTTGCGTGTGTCCTGAACTGATTTGCGCAATGGGTTAGCCAGCCAGCCGGGCAGAGATGAATATGTTGGGATTTGCTCTGGCTCGGGTGGATTTTCAGGCTGAGGTAGTCGCTCCAGGCCCTGTGCATAGACAGCTTCGACAGCAGGTGTCTCATCTTCAACAAGTTCAGGTTCAACCTTTTTGGCTTTGGCACTGGAAACGGTTTTGGTTCGCTCGAACTTTGACAAAATTCCCGAATGCTTGTTCTTCGATTTGCGTTGTTCGACGTTCGGCGCTTCAACTTCTTCATCGATATTTCCTGTAATCACAGATGCAGTCGTATCATCCAGTGTATCGTAAGTTCCGGAACTCTTTCGCTTGCTCTTCTCCGATTTCTTTGCCGTTTCGCTAACAATCCTGCGCGAGTCTGCAACAGTCGGTTTTCTGCGGTCCGACGAGAGAGTACTTTCTTTCCGGGACGTTTCCGGGGAGTTCGATCCTTGAAGTGCATCCTTGAGATGCTTGCGTTTCTTGATGCCGCGATCACCTGTGATTTCTGCGATCGGCAAGCTTTCGCGTTTCTTATTCTTCTTCGTTGGCGTGGGAGTGGCTGCAGGCTGAGAGACATGGGGATCTCTCTTGCGCTTGTGAGACTGGGTGGATTTAGGAGTCCCATCAACCTTCTTCAAGGACTCGAGTCCTGAATTTTTGCCGACCATTCTCGTGTGATTCCGCCAATGTCGTGGTTGGCGTTTAATGTCTCATGGGGATCAAATTCCTTCTCTCTGAATCTTTTATGCCAGCAGAACACACAAAAGTGTTACCGCCCCTGCTACCGCCCTGCTTATCAGGACAGCTTCCAGATGACTCCAGCTCTCCTATGTTTTTTGGCTTAAATGGACTGGTGTTTTGAGCAGCAGATCTGTTAGCCATGGAAATAAATTTGAAACGAAGGGCAAATTTGATAGCTCGGAGTTCTTGCCCCGAGAACCACAGTCACAATGCCATATAACATCGCGTTAGTATCTGTTGTTCCATCTACCAGTCGCGATTACTTGCTAATATCACTCTTGTTATAGAATGGTCAGTGACTTCTTTTTCCCCCAGTCAGGTATGCCTCGATCTTTTCCTTGCAATCTACACATTAACTTATTTTTCTAGGTGGAATTGAAAGTCACATATACCAATTGTCATCTGTAAGCACGCCGCATCGTAGTTCTGCCTGCGCTCCTCCTAATTGCTTCTCAGAAACTCATCGATCGGGGACACAAAGTCATTGTTATCACCCATGCATACAAAGGACGCACTGGTGTCCGATACCTCACCAATGGACTGAAGATCTACCATGTTCCATTCTTCGTCATCTACCGCGAAACGACATTCCCTACCGTCTTCTCGTTCTTCCCCATTTTCCGCAACATCGTCATCCGAGAGGAGATTGACATAGTTCATGGCCATGCCAGTTTAAGTAGCTTCTGTGGAGAGGCTATTCTTCATGCGCGTACTATGGGACTGCGGACTGTCTTCACAGATCATTCCCTGTTCGGGTTCGCTGACGCAGCATCAATTCTCACCAACAAATTGCTTAAGTTTACTTTGAGTGATGTTGATCATGCGATCTGCGTTAGCCATACTTGGTAGGTCTCCTTAGGGCGCACTACATAACTCAACTAACAAGTTGCAGCAAGGAAAACACAGTGCTTCGGGCTTCGTTGGATCCATTAATGGTATCGGTTATTCCAAACGCCGTGGTAGCGGAAAACTTCTGCCCTCTGTCTCATACAACTCGTGCGCCCGATCAGGGCCTGAGCTTGCCTGCGGATACTCCAAGGTCCCCCAGACGAATCGGGCCCGACGATCCAATTACCATCGTGGTCATCTCACGACTTTTTTATAATAAGGGCACCGATCTTCTGATTGCATCTATTCCGCGGATTCTCGCCTCTAATCCAAACACTCGCTTCATTATCGCAGGATCAGGGCCCAAAGCAATCGACCTGGAGCAGATGTTGGAACGCAATGTGCTTCAAGATAAAGTCGAACTTCTCGGTTCGGTCCGACACGAGGAGGTTCGAGATGTGATGGTGCGAGGTGACATTTACCTTCATCCAAGTCTGACAGAAGCATTCGGCACAGTCATCGTTGAAGCGGCTAGTTGTGGTCTTTACGTGGTCTGTACACGTGTTGGGGGCATTCCAGAAGTTTTACCCCAACACATGACAACGTTTGCCAAACCGGAAGAGGACGATATTGTGCTTGCAACCAGCAAGGCAATTGCGGCTTTGCGCTCGAACAAAGTGCGAACAGACCGATTTCATGATCAAGTGAAGATGATGTATTCATGGCGGGACGTGGCCGCGCGCACCGAGCGGGTGTACGAGGGCATTACTGGCGACATTAGCCCAGAGGAGTTCTACGGTTACTACCCCGGCCAGGGCTGGGAGGCGAGTGGAGATCGCGTCCGTAGCTTTGCGCTAATAGACCGGTTGAAACGCTACTACGGCTGTGGTGTCTGGGCAGGCAAGCTTTTCTGCCTGTGTGTCGTGATTGACTTCTTGATCTATGTCTTCCTTGAGATGTGGTTTCCACGGGCCAACATTGATATCGCACGAAGCTGGCCAAAGAAGCCGCCGGCGAGCAAAAATGAGACCAACAGAAGTGTTTGCTGAAAAAAAAAGAGAAAAAGAAAGAAACACCCCGATAAAAAAAAAAGACAACCGGCCTGCCAATATCTTTCGGATCAATTCTCATTTATACGCCTGGCCTGCTTGTCTCAGACAGCTCATCTCCTAATTTAATCACCTCCTTCATGTCCCATTATTCTACAAGGCTCATTTTCACACATCCTCATCCATAACGTCACATATATAATATAATATTATGCCTACTTGGCGGAAATACAATACCTGGAATCATCCCTGCAATAATCTTCTCTCCATTCGCCTACGTGATGTGGCTAGTGACTGATAGTTGACCGAAGTTGACATCGAATAGACTCCATTGGTATATTAACAGATAATGTAAAATTGTCAAGAACAAACGCCATTATGCATCACATGCTGCGTTCCACATCATGTACGAGAATTGTCGGCAACCCCAACTTCAGATCAGCGCATCACCGGAGGCCTGCCCTCTTTGTTCCATTTGACACGACTTTGTACCCACTCCACAGCCGCCTGTACACCAGACCCTAGCAGCGCGCTGACCGGCAGCACACGGCTGTCACGGACACCGCCTCCTGTTTCTCCTTCAAACACTTTCCGGACAAGCCCTTCCTTGATACGAACCACTTCCACGCAGTCCTCACGGTCTTGCTTGTTTGCTAACACCAGGATAGGAACACCAGCCACGTCGGCACTTTGTAAGACCGACTCGAGGACTTGACGGCATTCATCTAATCGCCCGAACTCACTGCTGGCCGCGTTGATTCCGACGTTCTGTTCCGAGAAGGCCTCTGCACTTGTGCTTGCTCGTGTGCCAGTGCGCGCTGGACCTGCCCCAGAGCTTGTGCGCCGAGCAAGCCGTGCGATATCGGGATCTTGACCAACGTCGGCACTGTCGACCACGAAGATGATCGCGTGACAGCTAGTGTAGTAGCTCTGCCAAAGACCGCGCATCGAGATCTGACCTCCAACATCCCAAATTTTCAAATTCATGTCCGGTAGGGCTATCGTTGCGACATTCTGCCCGACGGTGGGGACGGTTTTCCCGGGGTTGGGTGCTGGAGCGCCATCGGAGCGGGGTTGGTACAGCGCCTTGATCTGGGAGAGAAGTGTTGTTTTGCCGGCGTTGTCTAACCCAAGCAGGATAACAGAGTACTCTGCAGTTCAAAATAGTCAGCGTGGAAGGTCATGCGATAGGGGAAAGCATTTGCCTTCTTTGCTCGTAGCGGCTAAGTACAGCGACTTGGCCAGGTGATACATGATCGCGTTCCCTATGGGAGCTCAAGGCCAAGCGCAATTGTAGTTACAGAAAAACAGGGTCAAAGACAGCAATCATGGCATCGCGGTTAGTTCTCTAACGTTGAAGCGCTCATGTTCCCCGGGGCCCCGTTGCAGCCTCATCCGTTTTGGGGTGATTAGGGCTTAGGGCTTTGAATGATCTGGGGATGTTCGAATCCGAACTACATCGGACGTTTTGATGTGCGTGCATTCAACACATTCAACGATCCACTGTGTTCAATCTCATAACTTCAAAGATATGGTGACACTGTAACGACAGACTCCACACTTCCTGGGCAAATTACTTCTCTCTCGGGTCCAGTTTCCGATGCCATTCCAAGCGGCAAATGGAAAATCGTCGACATTCCCGAGTTCTCCTCTTCTCCCCCCACTTGAAGACACTCCACTTTCCCAGAGTTTGTCAGCTTTTGATTATTGATCGACTTGCCGATACGAAGGACCCCCCCATCTTGTCTGGGGGCGTTCACTTTCCTGAATACCCTGCGCTACTCCGTGCAAATGGTCACATTCCCCTATGGCCCTACTGTCAACCTCTCGTGAGAAGGCAGTGTGACAGGGATCTCATCCTGATTTGATTGGATGATCTACTTTGCTTCCCTTACCCCATCGTATGTCTATATCAGTATGCCACACACTCCATTATTTATTTGATATACATCGCTGTCAATGGAAATTGACACTGTCATCGTCGGTACGTCTATAATGTTTGATTTGCTTGATTCTCAATGTTGAGCCCATTCGAGACTTTGCTCTGTTAGAGCCCCACATCCCTTCCCACGCTATTAAGAAGTACTTGTGAAATGGCCATTGATTGAACCGATTTCACCAGGCAATGGGCCGTCGGCCATGATCCTTTCATACATGCTCCATGGACATATTCCTTTCTACTCGTCTGACCCTCCACATCCCGATCATATCTTAGACGCCAAGTTGAAAGCGGCGCCAGAGATTTTGAATGCCGATGTGAATGCTCTTACGGCGCATTTTGACGCCTCGCGACTATCATACTCGACTCAGGCACTGCCCGTGAACGTATTACTGGACACACTTATACGGCCCAGCGTTGATGTAGATGAGCCCGGCTGCATCTCAAATATTGATTGGCGTTCACAGCCTGAGAAGGTTGTCTCACATCTTGTTTTTGGGAAGTCCTTGAAGCCTGGAGGCCAATGGACGGAAGATCCGTTGGGTGCAAGTTGGGATATCCAGACATTGAGCTATGCGGCAATGCTGTCCTTGCCCGGATATTCCTTTGCCGACCATCACAAAAAGACCACGGGCAAGGATTTACCATCATATACAAGGCCCACGCGGCGCGAAATCGCCGATTATTTTGCTGCTTATCCGAAGGCTGCGTATATCTACGATGCGTTTCGGTGTGGGGAAGTTTTGCAGGGTATCTCCCGCACCGCCACCGGATTTTACATTCGTTCCCATCACCTCCACTGCAAGCGCCTAGTCCTCGCAAGTGGAATCTTTTCCGAAATCCTCTCACCAGAACCGGTGTTACGTTCCTTATTTGAGACCAAGTCCTCGACTGACGTCCCGCTACTCGTCGTTGGATCTGGCTTCTCCGCTGCGGATGCCATCATCTCCGCCTCCCCTAACCAAAAGATTTTGCACATTTACAAATGGTCTCCGACTGACCGCCCATCGCCTCTCCGGGCCTGCCATCAGCAAGCATATCCAGAATATGCTGGCGTCTACCGTCTGATGAAACGAGCTGCCCTCATAGCCGAAGCTTCTGGTACATACCAGCGGCCAAAGTACCGCCGCGCGGCTTCGACACCATTCCTTGAAAGCCGGAATTGGGAAAGCCTTTACGAGGGTCTTCCTAACGTTGAAGTGACAGCCGTGGGAGTCCACGGCACTTTAGCGACAGTCACATTGAGCCGCAAAGATGGAACCGTTTTCTCTCGAACCGTGGGCGGCCTCGTATATGCAGCCGGCCGGCGAGGCCAGCTAGATTACCTTGATCCCGAGCTCCACCGTGAAGTGTTGGGGCAGGGCAACCCAAATGACTCAGCAGTCACCGGCCAGACCCTCCGTGCGAAAGCACTTGAGGACCTCGAGGTCGCACCGGGAGTTTACATCATCGGCAGCCTGACTGGAGATTCTCTAGTCAGATTCTCATATGGTGGGTGCGTCTATACTGCTGGGCATTTGATCGATGGCGAGCGGGACAGCCGCAGTGTCTGTAGTAGTTTCACGTCGTCTGCTAAACTACATGGCTCTTCGCTTTCCGTAATGAACGGCATGGATGGTCATCTTGTCTACCCAGATACCGACGGACTGAACCTAACTCGTGAAGACACCTTTAGCAAAATTTCAACAGTCACAGACCAGTCTGTTGCACGTGGTTGGTGGGAAACATTCTCCCGCTTGTGGAAAGGTCTTCCACGATGAGTGTTTTTTTTTTTACAAGAATATGTTTGCATGTATACCACGATCCTAATTGTCAAATTCTAGAAATTTCATGTAAAAACGCACATCTCTTGTTTCCACTCTCTTGTTTTCGAGAATTTCGATCCTTGCTCCCTCCCCCCCAAACTCTTGTAGCTCTCCGAAAAGGGACGGCGACTATATCACGCTAGTCCTAATCATTTAAAGGGCCGGAGGCTTAGACCTGCTTCTTTCTTTTCTTGGGGCGAGTGCATTTTTGATTCCAATCTTGGGATGAAGTTCCGGAAGGATGGGTTGTCGGGTTGGAATTCCCACTTGTTTTTTTTTAAAAGAAAGATGGTCTCAAGCGTTGGAGAGAATCACATCTTAGATCTGTCAATTTTGGTCAATTTTACGCCTTGATGAAAATCTTCGTTTGGTCTGAACTTGATGGTTGTCCTCAATCCAACAATTCTAGCCTCTTTAACCATCCGGCCTCATTTCGCGTCCTATTCAATTTTCTCCTTGAAGCTCTCGCTGATAGGCCGTAGGTCTGTTTATGTTTCCCATATGAGTTTTGTTTCGAGGCCACCGTTGTCATCCAAGAGCGACATTGTCTTGCGTGTTAATGCGTGTTTCTACTACTAGCCTTGGCAGATGACGATGTAGAGAATGAGAGCAATATAGATGTTATTCCAGTTGTCTTACGTTCCGGGGTGTGTTCTAATGGCTAGATCTGCTGAAATCACGAGGTCTTCATCTCTCTTTCAACCATTATAAAGTGGTTTGCCATGATGTAGATCCAAGGTTGATCCAAAGCTGGAAGGGACAAAACGTCGATCAAAAACATGAGAATACAAGCAACATTCCATCCTCCATAGCATGAGCGATGCACCTCTCACTCGGGGTTATGTATGGAAGAGCTTTCCGGTGACATCCAGGCCCGAGAATCCATCCCATCTCGCAATAATTGTGCCATAGCCAATGCTTGATTCCCATGGAATGTCCAGATTTCTCAAAACAGCCACTGATCTATTTCCGCTCAGGAGACGCAAATCCAGAGTTTGCAGCAATTAACCGAGGTCACACCAGAGTGACATCTCCTGCCCCTGAGACCTCGAAACAGGCAGAGGTGCCGTACAAGGGGTTTCTGAATTCATCATGTTTGTGTTGGACACAAGGTTCCAAGGTGTGCTGCGTCTGTTTCCGAAGATGATTTCCCCTTGGCTGATGGAAATGCGGGCATCGACATCCATGGCACAGGTGTGGCGGGAGGTGTGCTCTCTAAATTCCCCAATCCCAACGCGATAGGATTGGCTTCACTACCAGAATGTTGGCTAGAAGGTCGCCACTCATAGGTGTTCTCCATAACCTTGCCCAGATGGAAAGTGCCTAGCATCGAGCATCGAGCCTGTAGAGCTCCTATCCACTGAGAACAAACATCGGACAGCCAAGAGAAGTTGAAAAGCACAACGAGGGGGGGGGTTTTCTTCTTTTTTTTTTTTGGAAAATCCCCAAAATGGCAAAACTGACCAGTTGATGCAGAAGTGGTCCGAGTTGAAATCCGAGTTGGACATCTCCCGTGAACTCGAACCAAACATCTTGGATCGTCCAAGCCAAACATGTTTCAAGCCATCCTCCCCACTTTGTTTCTCCTGATACCATTGTATTGCATATACAAACCGCCAATTCTGCTCATTCAGTACTGTGAACGTCGCTGGCCCGACGTGCTCTTCCGCGTGGACACAAATAAAAAAGTGGTTGCGTTGACAATTGACGACGCGCCCTCCATACACACACCTACAATTCTTCGTCTATTGCAATCGCACAATGCAGCTGCAACTTTCTTCTTGATAGGATCGCAGATCCCCGGGTACGAATCCGCCTTGGCTGATCTCGTCCGAGCTGGTAACGAACTCGCCAACCATGCCATGTTTGATGAGCCGTCCCGGGCACTCAGTGACGACGTCTTGGCAGATCAGATCCGAGAAGTCCATGCCAGAATTCAAGAAGTGTATGTCGCAGCTGGAAATTCAGCACAGCCTGAGAATTGGCTCTTTCGCCCTGGCTCCGGATTTTTCAGCTCCCGAATGAGATCGCTTGTAAAGGAGCTGGGATATCGGCTGGTGCTCGGCGATGTGTATCCGCATGACCCGCAGGTGCCATTCTGGAAATTAAATGCGAGCCACATTTTGAGTATGGTCAAGCCGGGGAGTATTATTGTCTGTCATGATCGGAGAGAGTGGACCGTGCCTATGTTGCAGAGGGTGTTGCCGGAGTTGAATCGTAGAGGGTACCGCGTGGTCACAGTCTCCGCGTTATTCAAAGAGACCGGTTCAAATTGATGTTCAAATGGATGGCGGAGAGCATATTGCGGGATATTTATGTACAAGTTCTTCTTCTCAAAACGTTATGGGGTATATTCGGACACTATTCTCAGCAGGCTAACCCATCATCTGCAATTGATCCTGCGGGGGCCAGCGGACTTGTGCAAAGCTCAAGCAGCGCTTGATACTCTGCAAATACTTGCGAGTTATCTCATCACTCAAAATGTGTGCCTGCTGGTCACTCTGATGAAGCTTCTCTCGTGCAGATCGCTCGTGAATACCAACCATGGTCACACCGATGGGCCACGCTCTATAGACATGTTAGCTTCATTCCCAACGTTCTCAAAGTGGCCGGGTCAACATACGCTTTACCAATGCTCACTCGTAGATAGGCATCATTTGCATCGACGTATCGCCGCTGCTGCGCCTTGTGCACGATCTCAACGATCGGTTCTAATAGTCCGTCCTCCAGCTCGGACTTCTCAAAGAGGCGGAACAACGGTGTCATATTTTCGCGTGATTGGGTCATGGCATTAAATGCTTGTTTTCCTTGGAAACTTTCCCGTACCGAAACGTCACGCTTTGCTAGTGCCTGTTCCCATTCCGACAAAACCATGTTGAAGTAAGATCCCAGCTGCCGGAAAAGGAACAGACGGCTGCCTTGGTCTTTCGGGATCTTGGCTGGAATGATCATCTGTCCACCAGACACGGGCTCCAAGGTGGTGGGGATAGGTCCGTCGGTCACCCTTTTCCTGGGAACAGCGGCTCGTTGAACCAGACGACGGTATCGTCGAAGACGAGCTGAATAGTCCTCTCCGAACAATTGTATTGGCGCATTCAGTTCTCGTAATTTTGCTTTCAGCTCCTCCTCCTCGATGTCTTCCTCTTCGTCACCGTTGACTGGGGTGTTTTCAGGCAGCTCAGGCAGACCGAGCCTCTGCCGTCGTTCACGTTCTTTGGCTAGTTCTTCTTCCGCCCTCCTTGCCTTGGACTCCTCGGCTAATCGTCGCTTTTTCTCCTCGCGTGCTCTGTTTCGATCCGCTTCTTCGTCTTCGAGCTTGCGCTTATTCGCCATGCGCTCTTCACGTTCACGTGCAAGTCGCCCTTGCTCTTGGTTGTAGGCTTCAATGCGAGCAGCTTCGACATCACCTCGTCGCATGTATTTCTTTTTTGGCACTGCGGGGGAACTTTTTTCGGTATCTGTGGCGGATGGCTTGGAGGAATCGCTACCCTTGGCTTTGGAGATCTCCTTGGACATTAGTGCAGCGAAATCCATGGTGGCAGAGTGATGCAGCGAGCTGCCTGAATAGTGCGACTGTGGCTCAAGGTAAAAGAATGTAAGCAATAAATAAGGTAGAGTTGCATCAAAGGACGAAGATGGATGTGGAGGTAGATGGCAGGAAAAGAATGATCGGCTTTGCACGTCAGAACCCGCAGCTTTTCGACGCCGCATTTGTCTCTTCTAGTCCACTCCCCTCTAGAATACCCCGAACAATTACCTCCAAGGACCTTTGTTCAAGCTTCAATTTAGATTCAAGTCATCACATCTTCCATTCTCCTCTATTTTCTCTTCATCCTCGGAACTGCAACCTCTGATTTTTACCCTACCGTCCATCATGGCCGCTTCGTCGCGAGAGGGGCCCAAACCCTCAATCAACCGCCAGACCACTGCACCTTTTCATTTGAAGCTCTTCTATCGAGTTAACAACTACAACCCTCTATCCGAATACAGCATCCCTGTACCATCTCGCCGCGGAGGACCTGTCAGCGGACCAAATGCCATTCGTCCAACATCACCTGTCGCATCAGCAGCGCTCCCACCACATCTGGAGATCTACACATGGCAATCATGCACACTTCGCGAGCTCTCACAGCTTCTCACCTCTGCTCTTCCATCTTTACTCCCTGATCCGCCCGTTGGCACCCGTCTCTGCTTCCGACTGATTTACCCCGACGCGCGCGGCGCGGCAATGGGCGGCCCCGACGCGCGTGGCCGATACTTAAGCAGGGATTTAGGCAGTGCTATAGTTGGTCCGAGAGACAGTCCATTGCGTGCAGATGACGACGAAGATAAGCAGGATGCACGACCTCGCCCTGGCCCGCTTCGTTTCCAGGGCTCCGAAGCCGACAGGCCCCTGCAGGATGCTCGATTCATCGTTGGAGACTACATTGAATGCGCGATTCTTGCACCGCTCGAGGACGGATCAATTGCGCCGGCGATCAAAGGCGCATCAGGCCCAATCATGGGACCCAGAGGTGGGGGTGGAGGCGGCATGCGTGCGTTCCGTGATAATGGCTATCCTCGTGGGCCTAGTCGTGGTGGTCCCCGTGGAGGTAGTGGTGGACCTCCGCATATGCCCCGAGGTGATTGGCATCGTGGCGAGCGATTGCCCGAAGGTGGACGCGGAGGCCGTCGTGGATGGGCACCATATTGAGAAGGACGAAGAGAAATCCAGTTCAAAAGCAATTTTATCAAAAGGGCGATGAATACCGATGTTGAGACACTTTGTGAATATCCAGTTTAGGACCAATGAATCAGTACCTTCTATCACATGCAATCCCATCAAAACATGAGGAGAATGGTGTTGCTCCTGCGGCGGTCTCCCTGCTCAAGAGGTGACTTTAACTTCCAAGGTTCATCCTTAACCAGATGAACAATTTTGGTTGTAGGAAAATCTACTCCATAAAACCGTCAACCCCATTTTGGCCTCTTCAATCGCCGTGAGTAGGTAGCCAAGGGTGGTGGGCATTGATCCTGCAGTCATACATACTCGTTCTTCAACTCTATCTGTCATTCTGATGTTCTACTACGCAAAAGCATACCAAGCTAGGAACATTGTGTTTTTCAACCTGATAAATGCTTACTAGCTATTACCATGACTTGGCAACTTAGTGACTAAACGCCTATATCTAGTCCCCTAAATTGTCAGGCAGGCACTAAAAATGCAAGATGACCGTTTTTTGGGTGGGATGCTCCGGGGCTGTACGTCTAGCCTTGGAAGGAACCCCCAAGTTTCACGATCGTGAGCAAGGTCAACATAATAAGGAAATCCATGCGGTATATGCTTGTAAAAGTACACGGCCCACGCAGAGGGCACCGGCACAAAAAGAAAGATTCGGGCAAAATCCCCTCGACACACAAGTATCTCTAACTTCTCGGTGTATAGTTCTCCATGTCGCGTCATGTCACAGTGGGTGCGTGATACGGGCTTGTTAACAAAACGGGAATCGAATTATGGAAGTCATCGCTGTCTACCACTCGGAGATCGTATCTCCCCGGCGCTTTCCACGGAGCTCAAATTTGCCCTACACATTGTTAGCGTGTGTTTCTCTGCGGGATTGCATTGCAATCATGATCAACCCATAATGTCTCATTCCATACCTCGTACTTGTAGGCAAAGTAGCCCAGGATGCCGGGAATCAGAGCCATGTAGACGAACGATATCCTGGCTTGACGCGGGGTCCAGCGCCAGTATTTGTAACGGTTGGCATTGAGTTCTATGGGCCCGTTAGTCAATCTTCAATGGGAAATAATGTATCATGTCGCGGGTGCTGAGTTCGAAAAGCTGCTACAAAATGCTCTGGTGTATGCTTGGGCTAGCGTGATGCGCACGTTTCACCCGGAGTCCTGGATCTTGGGAGATGGGGTTTGGGGGGATGTACCGTAGTATTTCTGGAGGGCCGGGTCAAGGATCAGAGCTGGACAACATGTTAGCGATCGAGATCATTGCACCGATAGGACTCTCAAGACTTACACTTGCTAGGACCAGCCATTTTTGCGGAAAGCGTTGAAGCGTGGACTCAAAATCGAGAACGCAGAACGCTTGCAAGTGTCGCCGGGATTGAAGTTGAAGGTCACATGATGATGAATCAGCCGAATGATGTAATCAGCTTTCGACCTCACATCCATTTACATGAAGATGAGGTACAAGGTTGATCATTTCAAATATCAAATGACGCATAATACTGTATTACTATCATTATTCATTGCATTCTTGCGGGATCTGCTCATTGTCGATGTCTATACGGAGTAGTCGCAAAGGCGCGCAAGCATATCCGAGATCATCCGCCAACCAAAGGTCCTCTATATCTCAGCGTTCACGCAACGGGGGTCATAATGAGACCTGAGAGCACTAAAGGGTTTAAAGAAATCCGTTGTGGCCTTCTCCATGATCTCTAGATTACATAGAGGCCGAGAACTTCCCTTCAATTTCCTCAATCTTCTTCACGGCACGCTGGTATCCCTCATTTCTCTCGAGCCGGTTAGCATACTCGACAAGAAGGGGGTATTTAGCCTTGTTCTTCTCCTCCTTCAACGACCGCGTGGTAACAGCGATTACTGGGAAACTCAGCAGGATGTCGGCAGCTGTCAGCTCCTTGCCGCATATGAACTCGCCACCCTCGGGAGATGTGCGGAGCTGTTCCTCAAGGAAGGCGAGGTTACCTTCAACATTGTGGGTCAGGAACTGATTCTCAACTTGCGAGGCCACGATGTTGGTAATAGGTCGAACAAAGAATGGTGGGGCGTTCCGAATGGCTGTTGACAATGTCAGTGGTGCTCCCAATGTTGGGTTATCAACGCCATGTGAGAGTTTAGAGGTTGGCGCCCGAAACGAAAGGTGACTTACAATCGTTGACAAGGGTCATCACCAAGTAAGGCATCAGGCTACCCTCCACATAATGCATAAAATAACGATAGCGCATCCACTCCTCGGTCTCTCCGCCCACCTCGCCCTCGCTACCGGGCGTGTACCGTTGTGGTACTAGCGTCGGTCGCGCAGTACTAAAGTGGTCACAGAGGTATTCCACAACTGCACCAGACTCTGCCAAAACCAGTGGTTTCGCGGCGCCCGGTGCCTGGATGGTTATCACCGGCGACTTGCCCAGCGGGTGGATCTCCTTCAGCTCAGCCGGGGCGAGCTTATCAGCTCGACGCTTGAAAATCTTGAGCTCATATTCCAACTGCAGTTCTTCCAAAAGCCAGAGGATTCTATGACTCCGAGATTGCTCGAGCCTGGAAGATGAGTTTATATGATTCTGAACAGACTGCGAAGGGAACGTACCAATAAAGGGTAATCTTGCACCCTTGATTGTTGGCCATGATTTTGTCTTGTTGCAACGTTGTAATGTTATGTTTGAGACAAATCCAAGTCAACAAAGGATAACAGGACTTGGAAAAAAAGGTCACGCACCTGGTGATGTCAGGATGGCCCGAGGTTTCCCAAGTTTATCTCCTAGAAGGGATAAAGCTCCGAGTGTAAATATTCTTCGTTCCAAGTCCTTTTCATAATTGTCTAGGCCTACCACCAACGGAAACGCATCATTCTATGATGATTCATTACGATAGTAGATCTTTGAATTATTTCATGGGGTTAATTTTGTCATTTGTTGGCTTGCGCCATCCGTCGTTGTCTATAACCGCCTCCGACATCAAAGCTTGGCCCTACAAGATAGTAAATCTTGTGTCTTTACTTCCTCCGCTTTAGCTCTGGGGTTATTGCACCCTCCTCCCCCCACCCCCCCCCCCTTTTTTTTTTTTTTCCTTCACCGGAGATTGCTGCTCTGCCTGGCCTGTATCTGCACAATGAATGGAGTCCATGAAAGCAGGTTTACCACGGGAGCTTAGTTCAAGGCAGGAGAAGGGGATTTTCAAATGTAGCTTCATCTTCCTTTCGATGCCTCATGACCCTCCATGATCACTTTACTTTCGCATTTCCCTGAATTCAAATTCCTTGTTCACACCAGAAGGTCGAGCTGGCGCACGCGGCGCATCGCGAACCGCGACTGGCCACCAAGCTAGGATCCTTGGTGGGCGGTGAGGGCACGTGCATCGATCGGCGTATAGATCAGACGCCGGGGCGTATGTGCTTGTACTTGTGCTTGTGCTTGTGCTTGGGGGTCGTTTTACCATTTGTGACTTTATGTTATATAGAATATTAACCGGCCCCTGTAATTAATTTGTAATTTTTTTTTCAAAAAATTACAGGGGCCGGTTAACTTCAAAACACCTCTTCATTCCCTGGATATTCGAATATTAGATGCATGTCTCACTCACAAGGCCGAATACATGCCTCTCTTCGGAATGGCGCGAAGGGCGCGAAGGGCTCGGATTTCCATCTCACTTCCCCAAGACCCTGCGTGAGAAGACGGTCCTCCTCGCTCCAGAATCATAGGGCTCTGTAAACAGAGTGAGTCGTACAACACGCAGTCTGGTTGAGCACCCGCGCGACAACGGCGTGGACCTCGTTTTCATCGCGCCCGTCCAAGCAGAAGACCCAGGAGCGCCGTATTTACGGGTGTGCGCTACCCTATCATCTAGATGCTACCATCGTCGATCCGTTCCATCTGTGGAATTTCTCCAACCACTCTTTCCAGGCAGATATCATCTACCTCGCTAGCCCAGCCTCGCTCGGGTTCCAAATTCTGCTACGGAGTACAAATCCGCCAGCTGCGCTCTCCGCCTCTAGGATAGCTGCCGTTTCAAACCAATTATGCCTGCCTATGCGGAAATTATGTTGCATGCACCGTTGGACACATTCGGCGTCTGGCTCCGGGCAACAATTTTAGCGGCATCGGTTCCGCACTCGGGCTGTATGTGCAATCTTTTTATCCGTACTTTGCAAGTCACAAAAATTTAGAGCCTGCGTATGTGCTGGTCGATCGACTCGTTCAGCTGGGTCGTGGTGTTGACACGTCTCTTTTCTCACCGACAGAGCGCGATGACCCACACCGCCGTCATATGGCACTTCATGGCGAAATCATCTTGATATGCGTTTGCCGCATCGCCTTAGGGAATGTATTCGAGTTTCTCGCTCAGGTCGAGCAACAGATGGCCGCAGACAAGCTCCCCTTCAAGCTGCTAGTTGTTAGCGGAAATCACAATTTGGCCAATGAAAATAAAGTCCAGCGTCTGTTTGACAGAGTCCGAGACCACGTTGTCTTCGCTGGAGTTCGCACCGGGTCCGCATTGTCCCGTGCGTATCCATCTGCGGATCTGTTTCTTCATTGCTCTATCACAGAAAATTTTAGACTGGTGGTCCTCGAGGCCATGACCAGTGGTATCCCAATAATCGCGCGAGATCAGGGCGGGCCCTGCGATTTTGTGCTTCACGGACGGACTGCCTATCTGATTCTGCCGCGCGATGGAGAGTGTTAAATTCATTTGATCAGGAATCCCGGGGTTCTGGGCGGGTAATCCGACCTGTAATGATAGGGCGGGTCTTCGAGCAGCTCCGTCTAGTGCTTGCTATGGGGATTATTTAATGTGGCTGATCTCTGTCGTCCCACTGGTCTTTCATGGAAGCTGAGTCCTTCCCCGAGCCGGGCAAGGCATTCGGGGTCAATTCCAGGGGACTCGTCCATTGCACAGTTGCTATGTATATCGACACTTGCCTATGCTCACATGCCCATCTATATAATTTATGTTGACGAGAGATCTGGAGGTTGAAAGTGATCGATTTGGTAAATTTCTAATATGTCAAATTTCTAATATGTCCATGCATAGATGCTGCATGTCCGGACACATGTCTCGGGCTTCCTTCAAAGCCTAACCGGCTCTTTGTCCACGGGAACTAAAACATGTCCCTCCGTTACCAATGAGTTCTTGCACGAGCGGGCCGAGACCAAATCAGACAGATTGCCGAGTGTGATCTCAGCGATCTCCGCGAGAGCCTCGCGCGTGAAGAATCCCTGGTGACCACAAATCAAGACATTGTGGAAGGTCATCAGACGCATCAGCACGTCGTCTTCAATGATCTCCCCGGAGTGATCGTTGTAGAAAAGCTCGCCTTCTGCTTCGTAGACATCCAATGCTAATCCGCCCAGCTGCTTCGTCTTTAGCGCCTGAAGGACCGCCGTGGTATCGATGAGCCCCCCGCGCGAAGTGTTGACCAGCAAGGACCCCGGTCGAATGCGCGCCAATGTCTCTTCGTTGATGAGATGCTTCGTGCTCTCCGTGAGGGGACAATGCAGACTCACGATGTGGCTTTCTTTTAGTAGGGTGTCGAGGTCAACTAGCGTCCCGTACTGACGGAATTCTTCCCCGGCAAAAGGGTCGTGCGCGAGTAGTCGGCACCCGAAGCCGTGGAAGATGCGCGCGGCCGCAAGCCCGATGCGCCCCACGCCGACGATCCCAACGGTCTTACCATGCAAAGTGTTCCCGAGGAGACCTTCAATGTTGAAGTTGCCCTCGCGGACACGATTGTAGGCACGGTGAGTCTTCCGATTCAAGGTTTGGATCAGGGCGACGGCGAACTCCGCCACAGCTTCGGGGGAGTATGCGGGCACATTCGCCACGAAGAGGCCTAGCTCTTCGGCAGTTGCGAGATGAACGTGATTAAATCCGGCGCATCGGAGCAGGATGGCACGGACCCCGTAGGCGTGGAGAGCTCTCAGCACGCGCTCGTCCAGGGTGTCGTTGACAAAGACGCACACCGCGTCGGAATTTTGGGCTAGTGGCACAGTCTCCTCAGACAACGCAAAGGCATGGTATTCAATAGCGCACAGCTCGGGAAAGTGCTGTGCACGCACCTGATCTAGATAGGTGCGATCGTAGGATTTGGCACTAAAGACCGCCACCTTCATAATTGCGTCTGTGATGTGATCTGGAGGGGTGGTGAGGTTGACATCTGGAAGTATAACCGCAGAGTCATGACGACATGGATGTTTTTGTATGACACCTGCAAGCGGCCATTTTGGTCAGTGTTCCTTGGTCCTTCCCCAGATTTCCGACTGCAACCTCCCGCATTCCAGTACCGACCATGGCCTCTCTTGGTGCTTTCAACTTCCCGCACTCTTGAAAACGGGATTGGACCTGTTCGATCTGCTACCCCTATTGAGGTAGTCGTTTGTTCCGAGAATGCACCATCACTGTAGGCGAAATAGTAACTCTCTACTCCGTACTGACACCAGTTCCAATGGCAACTTCTCCAAGGTTCTACTTTACCTGATTCTTTTTAGGTTAGAGGTATAACATTCTAAGGTTAACCTCGGCAATAGCTCCAAAACCAAATGTCCACAACTTCCCGAAGCCTTCTAGATGATTACTTTTTTCAGTCCTGCAGATGATCTAGCATTTTGGTTTTATTTCCACTCCCTCCGCCTTGATTGGATACACCGGTCACAGACTTCCGCGGGGCTCCGGCAGCCGCTGGAGGGTCCTCGGGGGAAGCCAATAGGATGATCGAAGATGCAAATGGGCCAATCAGTAGTCGATGATAAGAGGTGACGCCACAAACAGTCTAATTGGTCATGAATTTGGCGCTAATGAAATGAATTTCCGACATTTTCCCTTTTCCGATTTTCCAGTGCAAGTTCCGGCCTGTGAAATTGGCATTATCTGACTATTTACGGAGTACTCTGTCCTCTATACGGAGGCACTCTATACATAGTACGGAGTACATAATTTTTTAATATCCCGTGTTTCAAATCCCGTGCCTGTACGGAGTACGTAGTATCCGTACTCCGCTAAGAGGAGGGAAAATTTGGACATCTCCGACACCATCTAATTACCACTCAGAATACTCCGTATACTCCGTATATCGGCACTATCTCCCCAAAATGGACCTAGTGCGGATGCAAGTGGAGAGACCACAAAAGGAAACCTATCACTCGGGCTTCATGGAAACCGGTCTGAATCCTGGGTAATCACAAATAGCGGTCAAAAGAAAGACGAAATCATCTAGATCTCTACATTGTAGTCCTGATTAAGATTTCATATTCGGGGAAATCGATTTGAATGTGCCAGAAACCCAAAAAAAACCAAAAAAAAAACAGTCCGGACGGAGTACTCCGTCCACGATGTAGATGGAGTATACGCGGAAGAGACACACGGGCTACGTAGTACTTCAGGCTACTTGGCCCATGCGCATATGTAGTATCCGCCACGAAGTACTCCCAAGTAGAAGGCAGACAAGTTCTACCGACTCTCCATCCAGTCAAGTAGCACTTTTCGGGGACTATGTAACAGTATCACAAGGAGATTAAGTACTCAATAAGGATGAAGGACTCCCTTTTTACCTTTCCTCTCTTCCCCAAGGGCGTTTTTCCCTTCGCAACAACTTGTTCATTCTCATCTCCCAAATACCCATCTCCACTGAAATCCACTCTCTACGTACTCCGTGCTCCGTACACATCTCTTAGCTCCAACGTTCCTGTCTCCACTGACTTGGACCACTTACAGTTGATCCTTTTTTTCTTGCCTCTTCTCCGGCTGAACGGCTCTGTGTGGACGATAATTCCTTCTTTTGCCCCTCGGTCTCTGAACACTTTTTTTGCCGCTGAGCTTGGGATTACCCTTCAGACTCGACTCTTAATCGTCCGCCTCCCACCTTCTCCGACATCCCCGTCACTACATCTGAATATCCTTCCCCAATCTCCAAATTTCCATCATTCCACCCTCATCTTCTTTCTGACCATGGCGACTCATGTTTTGACCAACTCGGCTACCAACCAAATTTCGGTTTATGGTCAGCCCTCCCCAACCAACTCCGTCGCCAATACTCCCTCCAACAATTCCCCCACCTCCCCTCGCATGACTACCACTTCCCTGCATCAACTGCCTCTGCAATCGCGCCAGCTGCGTCCTCTTAAGGGTCCCCTCTATGTCCCTGCAGCTCTTCGACCCACTGCGCGACCCCAGAAATCGTCCCCTATTACCCCACCCCGCAGCTTGCATGGCTCTCTTGACAGCCTGAACGAGGACTCATCGGAACCTATAAGCCGACGCTCTACCATGGAGAGCCAATCCAGCGAAATTAGCCAGAGCGCCCAGCACGAGTGGTTGAAGAATGAGCATCTCGGTGCGGTAATCGGTCTTCCAACCCGTACACACTGGAAAGTGAGTATCCCGAGAAACAAAAATCGAGTCTTTCCTTGCCTTCCTGCGGCGCCTTTAAGAGGGATTGGGTTCGGTTTGGATTGCGCAGTTGTCAATGCAAATGTCGTGTGAGCTCGTCATTTCTCGGAAATGGCGTGCTGCCAGTCCACCGCCTCAGCCCTGGCGCATCCCAACCACACATCCTCTCGATCGCATTGGTCATCCTTTCTTACAGGACAACCCTGGCTAACCTTTCCCTTCAGGCTGACTCTGCCTCTTCCAATTGTGATTCTCCCACTTGCCGCTCCTCATTCGGCATCTTCCTGCGTCGCCACCACTGCCGTCACTGCGGCCATGTCTTCTGCGCCTCCCACACACCTCACCTCGTTCCTCTTGACCAGGATGCCCGTTTCCACCCCGAAGGTGTCCCGTCCCGTGCCTGTGACCTGTGCTGGAGCGCCCACCAACGCTGGGAAGAGAACCGCTCCGATCGTCTGACCAAAATCCAGAACATCATCGACTGTCAGCAAATTGGTGTGTCTGTTCCCGACTCCGATGGCATGAATGCCGAGGGTCCCGAGTCCACTCTGGGCCAGACTGGCGAGGTCGCTGCCTCCGTTCCTCGTGACTGGAACTGGAGCACCTTCTAATCGCACTACCCGGTTTTCTTTGGGTAGTGTGGCTAGCAGGACTCCTGCAGCTCGGCGTTTCACTCGATCTTAAGCTTTTCGCTTTCGTCATGCTCATGCATGATCTGTTTTTTTCTCTCTCTTGGCGACCATGGCTTTGGCGTTTTTAACAGGCCCTGGGCCTAGGCTTTGTTTCTTATGTTTTTCTGCAGTCATGTTATGACTTTTCATCGTGCCTAGAGGGGTTTCGTCGGTCCTTAGCGACCCGGTTGATTTCGGTTTATGCTTGTCCTTCTTTGGTTTTTTTTTTGCGTTGCGTTGATCAGGATACCCCGTCGGTTTTTGTTGCGCGGCGATCTTATTTGTTTCTTTACTGGTACCTGATCCTGGGGGAATGTGGCAGGTTAACAATTCCCTCTGTTGATATCTAGTTCGATTTAGTTCGATTTAGTTCGATCGAGTTGATTCCATTGATGTCGAATCTTGAGTCTTTTTCTCTCTACTGATAGGCTATGTTTGCTCTCTGTATTACGTATTTTCTCTCCCCGTAAATACTTGTCAATCCAGAACCAACCGCCGGAACATACCCACATGCTCAATCCCTTCCTCGTCCCACCGACCCAGTGATTGATCGGTTTCAAATCCAAGCCCAGTATACATCCCTTCCACATCCACCTGAGCATGCACAAGGACCAAGCCCCGCCACGGAATCGGCGTAACAGGTGACTCCTCCTTCTCAGCGATCTGCGCCGCCGCCTCGTCTATCTCTGCTGCATGCACAGCCGCCCACCCCAGTGCCGTCTCCACTAATCGTCGCCCAAGTCCGAGGCCGCGGAACAATGGCATGATTGCCACCCGGGTCAGCTTGATACAGGGTTCGTGCGCCCAGTCGTACTCGGGCCTCCCTTGTGCGATTACCGATGGCGGTTCCGTGACATGCGCGTGAGGCACCTGTGGCGGGGGGACCAGGCGGATCACCCCCACCGGCGTGGAGCTTGCGGTGGAGTTATTGTAGAGCACCCAGTGCCAGCTGCGGGCATCGTCGCTGTCGATCTCAGAGTCTGCGCTGCAGTGCTGCTCGTTGATGAAGACGGCCTTTCGGATTATCATTGCATCATGAAAAATAGTGGTGTTGGTGTTGGTGCTGGTGTCTTGAGATGGGAGTGATAACTTTGCGCTGGGTCCTGGGGGCAGCTGCATTGAAGTGCTGATCCTTGGGTTTGGTGTCATTTTGGTCGGTTATGGGATATTGAACGCTAAAGGGGTTCAAAGGCAAATATGGCGAAGATTCAGGGAGTGGAAGGAATTCAAATGTCATTATAAAGAGGCGGATCCGGAGATACAACATAAATGCGTGTTATTGAAACCATGAAAATTTGAACGCTACCCATCGTTGATCGAGATCTGATGAAAGACAAAAGAAACTACAACATACAGTCTTGTCGTGGCAAACCCACACCACATCGAAGAGCTCATTCTAATCAGCTTGAAAGGCATCCGCTGCACAACCTCATGATCCAAACGATGCAATCCAATGCAAACAGAACAAACGTCAAACCCCCATTTTTTGTTCGCGAAAGTCCTCAAAGTCCTCAATTTTCTCCGACAAGCATTCCAAACTCCCAATGTCCCTCTACTTTGATGCGGTCGCTATCCTGACCGCACCCTCCTCAGGGGGCTCGTTCAAGTCCCGGATTTACAGTGCTCGGAACCTGCGTGCATCGCCAGCGCAAATTTATGCCTTGATCACCGAGGCTGCGAAATGGGATACGGTGCTGGCAGACGTCATTGACAAATCAGGCATTCTCTCCCTGGAGCGCAAGGTGAGATGACCTCAGTGAAACCACTGGAGATACCTACTGATTGACTAAGTGATTCCCATTTAGCTCTCTCCACTCCTCGCTCTTCTCCTCGTTCATGATCATCTACTCGCGAAGAAAGGCATTGCCGCACCGGCAACCCACACACTCCGCCAGACCGTCGAGCGTCACAAGGCCAGGCTAAAGGCTGAGTTCACCAAGGCCCGTGTCCGTCGAGGGTGCGCCTCCGTCGAGCAATTTAAGGCTGTTGTAATTCGTGAGAAGCGACTGGCCGATGGAACAAGCCACTTTGTCTATCCGCGATGGGTGCGAATCAACAACATTCGCACTACCCTCGAAGAGCAGCTGAGCACTACGTTCAAATCATACCGTCGGGTAGATACCCTTGCAGAATTGGCCCCAGAAGACGAGCTGGAAAGTCGAAAGCCAGAGCCTCGATTGTTCATCGATCCTAACATTCCAGATTTGGTGGCTGTGCCTTTTGGCGCAGACTTCACTGCCTCCTCTGCCTACAAAAATGGAGAAATCATTCTTCAGGACAAAGCGTCCTGTTTCCCAGCGTATCTCCTGTTGGGTGACCGTGGGCCTAGCGACCCATGGGAGGGCGACTTGGTTGATGGCTGTGCTGCCCCGGGGAACAAGACCACGCACTTGGCGTCGCTTCTGGCCAAACAACAAAAGGGCAACAAAAACAGCAACCAGAGAATCTTTTCCATGGATGCATCTACCGTGCGTTCCAGAACGCTGCAGAAAATGGTTGGTCTGGCCGGGGCTGACTCAGTCACTGTGCTGCAAGGTCAGGATTTCCTCGCTCTTGACCCGGAAGATGAACAGTTTGAGAAGGTTACTGGGTTATTATTGGATCCCAGTTGTTCTGGCAGTGGAATCATCGGCCGTGACGATGTCCCTCAGTTCACACTCCCTGTCGCGGCAGCATACAAGGCACCCAAGTCACATGGAAAGAAAAGAAAGCGTCCAGACAACGATGACGAAGCAATTGGCGAGCAGTCGAAAGCCACCATGGGAAATCCGCAGGCTGAGCCCACAGATGAAAATGATATCGCGGATGGGACGATCGACCCGGAGCGACTGACCAAACTATCAAGTATCCAAGCACGAATCGTTGAACATGCTCTGCGTTTCTCAAATGCTACACATGTGACGTACAGTACTTGTTCGATTCACCTGATCGAGAACGAGGGCGTCGTGGCTCGCATTTTGAATTCCCAGGTTGCCAAAGAGCGCGGCTGGCGTCTCCTGCGGCGGGATGAGCAGCCCGAGGGCTTGCGTCGATGGCAGAAACGCGGCGTGCGAGAGGAGCGACCGACCGAGGGAGAGACAGGGCCATCGGGCACGGTAGATCTCTCTGAAGAGGCACTAGAAGCGTGCATTCGATCCTGGCAAGGGGATGCAGAAGGTCTCGGAGGATTCTTCGTCGCTGGATTCATTCGTGACCCTGCGCACGCTGTCACTGCCGTTCGAGTGAAGGACCTTGGACATGATGAGCACCCCGAGAGCGTTGGGAGTGATGAAAGCGACGAAGATGGAAAAGATAAAGATGATGAAGAATGGGGAGGATTCTCCGACTAGACAAAATTACATTAGTGCAAGTTTGCCCAACCTGCAACATTTCCAGAGGGCACCCTGCTTGAAATTATGCATCCAAGTCTTCTGGCGTATTATGCAATTTAAGACTTGAACAGAGGTACAGGCGACTAAAGGAATTTCCGTGACCGGTTTCGGACCTGTGAACTGGTGTAGATGTCCAATTTGACACCTACCAAGACAACCTCGTATGCCCCGGTATGCCCTGTCTGCACTTGTAATCGCCATTGCCCTGTCCGAACAACCCAGGGCCCATCATCCGTGTTATCAACCCGTGCACGTTTAGCTGGATGCACACCATCGGCGCCAGCTTCGGTATTGGCTCTCGGTATCATCAAATGCTGAGGGCCATTTTCTCCATCCACCGTGAGATCAGTTTCACGGTCAACACGGACCTTGATTGGAACCTGGCCCAATGGGGGATGTGAATCAGGCAGGTTCATTTTCTTCCCTACCGTCTGTAATAGACTGGCAATTCTTTGTTTTGACACACCTAAGAAGTCGGCGCGCATGCTCGTCCGGTGGATCAGACTGGTTTCGTCGCCGATCTCAACCACCAGATCGGCGGCGCTCTTATCTGCAAAGGGGCGCGTGTATGTGACCATCCCACCCGCTGCAGGCGACCCAGAATCTGTATCAAAAGTAAAGTGGATCCCAGACGGTCGCACATCCTCGAGCCGGATGACGATTTCCGAACGATGACTGAAGGGATTCGTCGTTATCTGATGCGGTATCAACTTTTGTTCCAGGCCGCGCAGGTGGAAATAACGACAGTCGCGTAGAAGCGCAGCCCGGTGATTCTCGTTTCTAATGTGTAGCGGATACCCGCGCAGCAGATGCAGGAGCTCATCAAAGACATCTGCAGATCGGTTCGGAACGCTTGGGGGGATGATGGCCGGAGGTCGCAGGAGACCCTGGCGGTCCAGGCCTGGGAACACTTCCAACGGAGAAGCAAAGAAGGCGGCAAATCCGAGGGAAAAAAAATTTGGGGTATCCCCGGGACCTGAAAATATATCGCGAGGGATCTGGAAGTGTCGGTCGCCGATTTGAATAAAGCATTCGGACTCGAACAGCTGGGACATTAATCGAGGCACTGTTGGGTTAGCAATTACCTTTAAGGTACTTGGACAGGGGATAGCTCACATGTGTAAAATTGAGCATCTGCGAATAGCTTCACGAATTGCCCGCCATCCTGGGGCCGGACATGGTAGCCTGGATGCACCTGTTAGCTCCCTTCACGTTGTGTTTGTCTATGGACTCTCATACCCTGTAGATGTCTAGCGATCTCGCGGAATGTGGCGGGATCACGGTCGATATAGAGAGTCCTGACGTTGGTTGCATCTTGATTTTGAAGCAATTGATCCTCGAAGAAGCGTGAAAAATACGATGGAGCTGTTTGAAGGGTCAGTTCAAGTTGAACGGAGGAGAACAAGCGCATTTACCATCAGAAGCAATCGAAGCACCCGAGAGACGAAAAATTTCAGAACCAACTTGGATAGAGAAGACCTTCTCTGTAGGTAGAGTACATTTGCTAGGCCGAATGAGAGTGCGCGTCTCCATGGTGTGGTGAGAGAGGTCGAGGACGACGTTGGAGGCGGAGAGATTACATTTTTTGCCTGTTCAAGGCAACACTCCCACACACAACTACACTACACATTACCATTATACCATTATACCACTTGGTAACCATGAACTTGACTTGGAATTTCCTATGGTCAAGGATAACTCGAGTCTCATCCGCGCAAAGTTGTTGATTCTCTAACATGGCGCTGGAACTCGGCAACTTCCCCCGCAAATGAGCCCGTGGGCGCCCTTGTTTCAGAGATCGAAGGGGATCTACCTCTTCGGGGAATGGGTGGGAAGCTAGGCTTTGAAAGTGTCGGGCAATGTATATTCACACGGTCTTAAGTGGTCGACAGGAGATTTGAGACCCCACAAGAATCAAAATCCATGTGCAACTACTCCACTCAACCGAGGCTTCATCTCCGGGGTTCTGGGATCGTGTGCTTGGGATGCAATGGATGAAGGGGCTGGCATTGGCATGGAAGTCACATAACACAGGAGTCTGTTCTCTCCATGATCTTCCATGCCAATAAAGTATCACTTCTAACTCTGAACTATGCACCTGGTGTCATAGTGGGACTTTGTTGAGCTAGCAGTATTTACAGTCATTCGTCGCCTGTGTACGGAGTACCCAGATGGACCCCTTCTCTCTTCGCCCCACAATCTCCTTTTTAATTCTGCTTCCCACCATTCCTTGCCATTGGAGCCTGAACTATGAGAGCTTTGTTTGCCCTGGTTCTTGCAGACATGCCAACCCACACTGTGTCCATTTACACCCCGAAGGATGTCCCTATTCCGCCATCGCCTTCTGCCACTTACTTCTCAGAGGTGCAATGGAAGACACTCTATGCGCTGGCCGGTGCGGTTGTGCCCTCCATCCATGCTGCGGCTACTGTCAAGTCATCAAACAACTGAGTGACGTCAGATGCAGAGTAGCATTCTGCCGTGTCAAGCTTGTCAGCCATCATTTCTGGACCCGATGCCATAAGCATTGTCACCCAGAAGCTGCAAGAAAACGTTTCTTCGAACCAGCATTTCCGGGCTAGAATGGAGCGACTCAAGGGTGATTATGTGCTTGACGCGGGAAGGAATGGATTTGGGCTGATCATGAATGCGCTCAACACCCGTACGGGCTCGATCACTCCGATCTAGGACCAACCAGTGGAATTTCATGAAAAGATTTTACGTGGATGGGACACCTCTCGATTGCCTCTCCACGCCATCTACCGAGGAGTCACTGCCGTTGTTAAGAAGTTTGGGATTATCAGTAATCCAACCATTGGCTGATTCCTGGGGTTACCACGCGTCCCCGTTCATGGCAACCTCGTGGACGATTTCCAATATGAGCTTTTGAAATTCCCTTCTGGGGACCGGCCGGAAACGATTGCGATCGACGTCGTTATCGTAGGAAGTTGCTGTGGCGGTAGCACGACCGCAAAGAACCTAGCTGAAGCGGGCTATCGAGTGCTGGTTATAGAAAAGTCCTATTCCTATCCATCCAACACATTCCCTATGGGTGCGAATGAGGATTTCTCAACCTGCTTGAGAACGGGGGTGCTATATTCAGCGATGATGGCACGATGGCAATCTTAGTGGGCTCAACGTGGGCCAGTGGTGGTACAAAATGCACATCAGATGGGTACCTGCCGCATGAGCAAGTCTTCTAAATTAGGCGTGGTGGATCCGGATTGTCAGGTCTGGGGCACTGACGGTTTATACGTTATGGTTGTATCTATCTTCCCTCGCGCTAGCGGTGTGGAACCAATGGTCACTACCATGGCGATCGCCGATTGGGCCAGCCGAAATCTCGCGCGGACGTTGGGAACGGCACGAGGTGAGGGCAGCGTGATGGTTCGTCTGTGATGGGATGGCTGGCCGTGAGATATCCCTTCTGGGTTTACCTTGCCCATGCGTTCTGTACCGCTTAGACCGACCACTTGAAAGCCAGGTTTAAATACTTTGTTTGATCTTTCTAGCACCATGCTGTAGGTTTGGGGTTTTTTTTCGTTTTCGTTTTCGTTTTCGTTTTACCTGATTCAAGTGCTTTGTGAGGCGAAAGATGATATTTTATTCTTATTCCAATCAGGTGCTAATGTTGTCTTCGTTTTCTTATCACAATGAGCTTCAAGCCTGGGGACCCTGACGCTTCTCAATGAAATTCTTTTCACCAAAGGCCTCTTTAACGCCCTTGACCTCAATGATCCGCTCGTACCAGGCGACCACAGAGGGGAACTTCTGGCGCATCTCAGCATCGATGGCCATGGAGAAACCCCAGACCAGGGCAGCGGCAATAGTGATATCAGCCAAGCTGGGCTTTTCGTTGCTCACGAACCAGGTGCGGTCCTTGAGGTGAGTCTCCAGACATGCCAGCGAGCGTTCCAGACGCGCGATGTTGGCCTCCTCGACCTTCTCGTTGTAGGGCTGGATACCAAAACGCCACAGCACCAACTGCGTGACAGGGTCCAAAACCTCACACTGTGCATGGCAGATCCATTGCCGGATGGTGGCGCGCTCGGCGGGAGTAGCTCCAAGGAGCTGTTCGGCGGCCGGGCCACTCTCGGCAATGTATTGGGTGATGGCGTCCGACTCGAACAGGGTTGTTCCATCGGCGGCCTCAAAGGCGGGCACCTTACCCAAGGGGAACTTGGACAGGAATTCCGGGGTACGATTAGTCTGGCCCATGGCGAATTCCGGAACCACCACTTCCAGGCCGTTCAGGTTGGCCACAGCCAGGGCCTAGCAGGGGTGTTAACTCAGGGCTCTGACCGTTCTGGCCAGGGTGTGAAGGGTTCTCTTACCTTCATGACCCGAGGGCTGGGCTGATAGGAGTAGATAGTACCGAATGGTGCCATTGTGGATATAAATGAGGTTGGATGTACAGTTTACAAAGTGAAATGGAGGGGTGTTATATATGAAGCCAAAGAACGGGGCGGAATCAGGTGGAACCCGATTTCTAAGCAGAAGGATTGATTTGTACAATCAGGATTTTGATTACGGAGTCAATGATGTCCAATTTCTGTTTCACATTACAACACAGAGGGTGGTGAGTCCTGGAGACCTTGGGAGATGTAGATGACGTGTTCTCCCCTCGCATCTCCACTAGGCGTACCTTTCTTTTATGTGGCAGTGCATTTTTTACTCCCAAGACTCAACCACTTGAAGATTCTCGATCATTCTCCAAATATCTCATTGCGTACTTTTATAGCTTTTTCACTCTTCGCCTGCGAGATATTCGGGCAAAGACAAAATTAAGAATTCCCATTGAGTGTGGTAGGTTGACTCTTCTTTCGGAGCTCAACTCGCACCAAACGACTACCAAAGCCCATTGCATTCGGCTAGTCATTGTCCAAAAGAACAGAAGAGAAAAAGTTCTATATTACCAGATATCAAGATCAAAATGAAACTTAACCTATCCCAGCTCTACCAGGCCCATGCCTCTAGCATGCCTCCCCGAGACGCATGTAATTCCAGCAAACTGCAACTTGAGTCAGCTTTTCAATTCACGCCATTTTTAGATGATAAAAAAAATTTCGCACTTGTATGTCCCATATCTTTGCCAAATAAGGTCTGCATCAGGTCTTCGCCCTCCCGCGTGCCCTCGCTCGGCGTAAAACTGACGGCCGTTTTGCCGAGAGCGAGGCCTATCACAGCCGGGAATGGCTGCAAGGTCTGATAGTCTGGTTTTCCACCAGTGCACTCTGCCATCATGTGCTGATGAATGTTAAGTGCCGCGTAATGGCCCATGTGCATTGCACCGCCACAGCGCTTGATACCCTCCCACGCAGTGAGGTCTCCTACTGCCCAATGATGCTCTGCGTTGGGAACGGCACCGGAGAATTGTAGTCTGCAGTGTTTTAGAGATGTTCTGCGGGAAAGGTCGAAGAAGGAGCCTTACGAGCGGTGCACTTTGATATATCCCTCCTCGTTCAACGCCTCCTTCGGCAGATATGTCGACGTTGGAATGGGTTGAGAAATAGCGTTTAGAATATGGCCAGCTTTGAGTTGTTGGCCATCACCGAGCGTGAGGTTCCAGACCCGTGTCCCATTTTTAATGCCCAGGGGGGTCGTATCGAGAGCGCGTTGTCCTAGGATGATCTCGACCCCTGTATCGCGCAAGATAGAGTCTACGCGTTCGGCAAAGAGATCCGGCAACGGCTCCGAGGACAACAGGCGCTTTCGAGAGTGGATTAGGGTGACTTTCTGCTCTGGGTTAAGGATCTTTAATTCGGCAGCCATCTCCACGCCCACAGCGCCTATCCACGAAAAAAGGACGTTGGTCGGGAACGAAAGTAGTCGAGGGTGACGGATACCACATACCTCCACCGATAACAACGATACCCTCGCGGGCTTGCTTTAAATTCATCATATGGTCTCTGGCTTCTTGGAGGAACCCTTCTCGCCGCAAGGATTGGGGAACGGTGGGGAAAGACCGACGCAACCCCGAGCCTGCAATCAAGTAGTCATAGGACTCCGTGCGGCTGCTATTGGTCTTTGCATCGATTATATGGGCGACTTTGGCGTCCAAGTCAACCGAACTGACCCTTCCTTGGATAAAGCTGAGATGTGGAGATTTGAGCCCGGGAACATCTTCGAAACGAGTCCAAGCCTCGGACGCGAACTTTTCACAGGCCAGAGCCTTTGGGGATCCGATCAAATGAACTGCACATGTGAACGAAGGTTTCATGGTGGGCAAGTTGTTGATCTTCTGGGGAGCTTACAATAGCCATCTCGTTTATCAACCACTGTGATATGGATTGGGATACGATGCGTAGGAGTCTCAGATTCGGTACTGTGGTTGAAACGGGTGAGGCGACCCTGTGAAAGATCAAGAAGGGCCAATGCAGCCGATAGACCGCCATAAGAGCCGCCGATCACAAGTACTCGGAAGCTGCGAGACACAGTTCGGACAAAGTCGTTGGACGGCATGATAGGTTGAGAAGAAGAGGTGTGATACGAGCAATAGCCGAGGAAAATAGCCAAATGGAAAGGACAAAGGAGACTGGAGAAAAAAGGGACTGAGAAACACTGTCAAGGAACTGAGCTACGTATCCGAATAAAAGTTGAGAAAACACATCTTCTCGTCCTCGGATCATGCGGGTCCAGATCTTATCAGATTGAAAGCGACATCGGATGTGGCGCACCCATGGTTGCTTCCTTGTCCTCTCCTTCCATGGTCCATTGCTCAGATTTATCCGATCCGATGGCCACCTGAAAGGTGTTTTAAAACATCCCTCGGTTGAATTGACTTGGCGTCAAGTCGCCGATTGCTTGGGGGGTTTTTCGGGACAATGCAAACCTCAGGCTACGAAGTCGGGAATTTTTTTCTCTGCTTTTTGTAGAACTAACATGGTGGCTGGTATTTAGGTACGCACGTCATACATACGGTAAATACCCATCTGGTTAATTTACTACTAAAAATGATTTACAACTAGACCGTGGCCCAGAGAAACGATAGGATCACATACAAAATGAAAAATCTTTCAACTGGAACTTATTCACCGGACATCCACCGGACATGAATGTGATTCATGTAAAGTACAATACCCGGTTAAGTCTATGGTTCAGTACAACAACCCCAAAATGGCAACGATCATCGATCAGACAAGATGAGCATCTAATCTGATTCTGAGAAGTGCCCAGAACTATGTTGTACGGAGTACTAATTACAGCCTGACGTAATAGAAAATGGAAATGCCGCATTTCCCGGCAGGATCCGCTTTTCGTCATTGTTGACGTTACAGGCATTGGGCGAATCACAGTAGAATCTGATAAGATGCGCCCCATAATCCCAACCCAGATTTTAGGGTTGTAAGTATATTTGTGCACAAATTCGGGGAGTTTCAATGTGATTGGGGGTATTATTGCAAACTCTGGATGTTCTCTGCTAGTTGAGTACGAAGGTCTGTACAATCTGTGCTCCTTGTTTTCTTTTGTTCATGCATTCTGGCGTTCGGCCAGCACCGCCATCGCCATTTGCCGGAGCTCCACTTTGCGAACTTTGCCGCTCCCCGTCACAGGCACTGTGCTTGAAGCTCCCTCTTCTCCAAATACAAATACATGTTGCGGGGCTTTGTGTCGACCCAATGTCTCACGTGTCCATGCGCGCAGTTCATCATCGGTCGGACGACCGGCGCCCGAAGTGATCGTGATAAATGCTCCGACAACCTCGCCATATTTGGAGTCGGGAATGCCAATCACCGATGCCAACTCAATTGAGGGATGCGCGGTCAATCGTTCTTCGATTTCGAGAGGATAGATGTTCTCGCCGCCTGTCAGATGTCCGAATTAGAAAATGCGACCAGGATCCGAGGGTGGGGGGGGGGGGGGGGGGGGTTTGAACTCACCACGAATGATGATGTCCTTGAAGCGACCGGTGATAGTGCAGTACCCTTCGTCATTAAAAGAAGCTTCGTCGCCAGTCTTCAGCCATTTCACACCCTCGGTATCGGTTATAAAAGTTTCTGCTGTCTTCTCCGGGTTGTTCCAGTATCCCTTGGTGAGCTGGTAGCCGGCAATGCAAAGCTCACCACGCTGACCAACGGGAACGATGTTTCCCTTTGCATCAATGATTTTGGCGCGAGCGTGGGGCAAAATCTTTCCGACAGTGGTCAATCTTGTGTGGATGCTGTCGGTGGTGAAAGCGTTGAAGCATGTGGGCGAGGCCTCCGTGAGACCTGTAGCCTGGGTTAGCACTCGAGTAGCAGGTGAATGAGAGGAACGGTACCGTAGCTACTGGTGTATTCGGTCATATGCAACTCTGCAAAGAGCCGCTTCATGAGTGGCCGCGGGACTGGGGCCCCAGCAATGATGCCTGTGCGGAGGTTTGAGGTGTCAAACGCCGAGGGCTTGGGAACGGCAAGGATTGCCTCAAACATGGTTGGAACACCGTGTAGAGCAGTGCACTTCTCGTCGGAAATGGCATGCAGAGCCGCCTTGGGATCGAAGGTTTCGCTGGGGAAGATAATCTTGGCGCCATGGGTGACCACCGCGAGCATACCCAGTACCAGCCCGAAGCAGTGGAACAAGGGCGGCGGACAGCACAAAATATCAAAAGAAGTGAGGTTCATGCGATCACCAATGAAACGCGAGTTATTAACCAAGTTACTGTGGAGGAATTAGCCCTTAATCAAAGCGAATGAATCATACATAGTCCACATACTGGTGTGTCAGCATTGCAGCTTTAGGACTGCCTGTTGAACCACTTGTGAATTGCAGATTACACACATCATCTGGCCGTAACTCGGCCTCGCGGTCCTGGAGCACATGTGCAGCTTGCGACAGACCGCGTTCCATGACATCCTGATAGGTGGGGAAGTTGTTGTAGCTGTCACGGAGAATGACGATTTCCTCCAATGATTCCGAGGTTGCAGCCTTTATAGGATTTGAGCCGAGTTTGATAAGGACCTCTTCGAGATTATGCCGTCCAATGCGTGGGGTGATGAAAAGCATTCGGGATTCTGATTGAGCAAAAAACAGTCAAGCGAGATTAGAGTGGAATCGATAACACGGGAAATGGACATCACCCACCGCTGTGATTTAGAGCGTAATACAGCTCGGAGGGGGTGTACGTATTGTTCAAAACGACCAAGATAGCCCCAACTCGTGCGGCTGCAAAGAACACCGAGATGTATTGCTCACAATTGCCTGCCATGATTCCGATGCGATCACCTTTTTGAATACCCGAAGCCAACATTCCTCGAGCCAGGCGATCGGTCTCATCTTTTAAATGACCATACGTCCATCGTGCGCCAGTCCAGAGGAAGACTAAGCCCTCAAATGTTCCATATTGCAGTGCTTGAAGTGTCAGCAGCTCGCCTAAGGTAATATCCAGCAGCTCTGGCTCCGCAGGGCCTGCCACGAGAGAGAGCTGTGGACTTAAAGGAGGCTGTACATGTGACAGCGTCTGCTGCAAGCGTTGTACACTTCTTGGGGTCGCCATTGTAGGTATATTAATGTTGAGGGGAAAAGAAAATCAGGAAAAAATGATGTGAATCGAGCGGGTTTATAGATGAAACCGACAATACCATGACAAAATTTCGAACAAGGTACAGAGTACGGAGTACTCCGTACATCCCACAAATTCTTCCAAGTCTACGAATTCCAAGAATTTCATCAGACAGGCTGGGGCTCCACATCGGAAGTTTTGTGTTTGGAAATTTCACGGATTTGGCTTTTATGCGCCGGTTCGAGATCTTGGCATTTTGCATGACTCCACTCAAACTCGGCAGGATACGCAAGCTCCGAGGGTCTTCTAGGTCGATGAACTCGAATATAGATGTTGGTCCATATGCAGTACTCTAGGAGTAACATGAGAGATCTGAAATCTTTTAGCAATACGTCTGTCTCGATATAGTATTCCTTTTCTCGGTTATCCCCGGGGACCGTTTGAGTTTCCCATCACGGTCGTAGCGTCACGGTAGTATAGTCCAGGATTGGTTGTCACAATCCAACCTGCATTGGAGGAAAATTATTAAAAAAAAAAAACAAAGACATCATCGTAGCACTGGACCCCACTCAGGATCAGATTATTTGTCTGCAGAATCTCATGACAGGGATTTATCAATCAGTTGGGAAGATGTCTGAGTGGAGGCTATTGTCTTTAGCGCACAAGAGATGTTGCAGACAACATTTGAGCAGCCACATACTTCCGAGCTGTGAATATTTGAAGCACCCGATTCTTGGTACGTCTCGTCATTCTGAAACTAGTGTTCGCTTTTCGGAAGGCGAAGTGCCCAGATGGGCCACAATCAGCCCGGAACGTCTCTGCCAGGTACTGCAGCCCTCGAAGACCTAGTACAAACTGTGTGTAGTTCACTGATTCAGCTTTGGTAATCTGTAGCTCACTCATTAATCAAGCATCGCATTTACCATTTTGCCATTGTGCGAATGGGTGGTCCTGGCAAATCTAATCAATCGTGCCGATCTTATCAATCATTCCCGACATCGGCGATTTCGTGTTGGACCCACCAACAATACCACAATACCACAATACCACAAGTACACCTCATGCCACTTGGAATATTCAATGTAACGGCCGGAAGGAAATTGAAAGGCTACCACTAGGAAGTATATGTGCATTGGGTGTCAAAGGCCATGGGTTGAGTCAAGATTGAATCTACGAGGGCTGAATGCTGGGGTTTTACATATATTCTAGTTGAGCTTCTTTACCTTTGTTTCCATAAACTTGATGTTAGTTGATGAGCATGAGGTCCACTTCCTCGACTACACAACTGATAGAGATGGTGTACAGGCTATAAGTGAAGTTGTAGATGTAACTGGAAAATCTCTGTATACGTGGAGAGAGAGAGAAACTATCTACAGGCTTTAGCTAGACTAAAGTACTGGGAGCAAACAGGGAAGTCGCATGACTTCTAACAGCAACAATTACTTTCTTAAGATCACTGGGTTGTAGTTTCTATCATAGATTCATTCTCTCGTTGGGCTGTCTGTCCAGCTGTTAAGAATAGACTGGTCACTGCTTGTCAGCCGAACAATAAAGATTTCCCATACAATCAGAATAACAGATAGCCAGGTGCAATATGCAAATCTTTGGCACACTCTGAGTCTAAACACCTATCACAATACATGGATACATCTCAGACAGAGGTCACATTAGTATGTTCGATACTACGTGCCGAATTTTTGGCCCTTTGACACGGAAAGATCTGCACAGCCTTTCCAGTCGCAGGTATTCTGTCATTAGTTAGTACCAGTAATTAGACGCAAGAGAGCCAAACACACCTTATAAACCTCTGTTCCCCACCAGTTGAGATGTTCGCTGGCTCCAGTGAAATAGATTGTCAAGAAAATCAGCGCACCAGCAATTCCCACGGATGAGTCCATGGCAGAACTCAGCACAAAGTTGTACTTACTCCACCAGCCATGCAGACGTTTCCGAACGAGCCAGCCAAAGGTGAGTCCAACAATTGCCCAACTGCCGTAATTCATCCCGGTTGCAGGGGGCAGGTAATTTAGCCCACCGAGGAAAAGGGGAACATGAATCCTTCTCCACAGCGACTTGGGGTACCGGCGGGCCATGTAGTAGACAGGGATGGGTAGAATGGCACCAAGGATGAAAAAATAAAGCAAAGCGGAATAGCCAATTTGGGTTGAGAAAAAGCGACGAGGGCCCACTGCGCCCCAGATCAAAGAAGTACTGAAGTGGGTTCTGCTGTAAGGACAACTGAAACCATTCACAGCGGTGCTAGTACAGATGCCGGAAATGTGATTCAAGGCCCAGTTGAGAACGCCGATTGAGGAGAGCGTGCCGATAAGCATTCCAACGCATTGAACCAAGAACAATTTGCGTTGAGGGATCTTTGGGGCATCAGCATTGTTCAACTAGTAGGAAGGGAAAGGGCTTGCATGGCAATAGTAGGCCAGTTTCATATCCTGGGCAAAGTAAAGACCTTTGATGGTCGTGATGTATCCGATGTCAAAGAACCAGATGTTGGCCAGGACCTTGCCTTCAAAGACGAACCCAGCTACGATGCGGCAGAAAATGTCGATATTGATCTTGAGATTAGAAGTGGCATAGACCAAAGCCAACTAAGATAGGTCAGAGAGATGTGTCAAATGTGTAAATCGGTACATTGGGTAGACTCACTGGAGGATAGAACACCAGTGCCACAGTACATGCCAGCAAAACACCGTACCATCTCAGTTCAACGTTCCACCACTCAATGGCGAACATTGACATGAACAAGGCTAAGAGGCATACGACCAAATACCACCACAAGGGAACATCCGGGTCTCCTTTCTCGTCCTCGCTGTATGCTCTGCAGCGACTGGGAAGGGACCCAAAGACCAGCCGAGGCACTCTTTGGACTGCATCGGCCATGACACGACGCCTTTCAAGCACAACCCAAACAAGAAGAGCGCTCAGGGTAGCAAACGATAGGCCAAACATGTTCAACGCGTAGGTGACTGGCATATAGACCTAATTTCCCCTGAAGTTAGCAGGACAAAAAGTTAGAGGTTTTAACAGGACATGCAGAAATACCGGCGAGTAAGCAAGGTACTTTTTTATATCAAGCTTGTAGCCCGAAGCCGCATTGACAATCCTTTTGACTTTGTAAGTCTTTCCGGCATTGTCGAAAACTAGTTGCACAAGTCAGATTTGGTAGCCCCAACATTTGGAACAGGTGGAGTTGTACCTTGAGAGCTTTGAAAAGGTAGGTAGCCTGTGTCCCATACATTGGTATAGTAAAGAGCAACAGCCACGATCCAAATCCAGAAGACTAGGGAAATGAAGACATTGAGAACTGCCCACGAGGGAATGAGCAAGGGAGATCCAACGTAAGAAATTTGGCTCCCTATGGGCCCCGTCAGCACGATAATTGGCCTGGAAAGTGGTGACACTTACAATCAAAAGTAATTGGTAATAGTCCCATTCCGGATCTCATACCGAAGATCTGATTGACTACTTTGCTCTCAGGCTTGATCCAACATGGAAAACTGAAAAAGCTAAGCGCCGGGAAAATGAAGTCCGGGAACCAATACCAGCAGAATGAGATGCAAAATGCCATAGCGAAGAAGGCAGAGCGAGAGATTTTCCAAGTATTGTAACTACTGTCCATCAGTTCCATGATCCCGAGACAACAAATACGGAAGACTAACCGCACTTGCACGTGTTCCTGGTTGGCATGATGCAGAGTTGTGGTCAATGCAGTAACGCCCAGAACTCCAGGCCAGATCAGCTCTTGGGGAACGACCACAATTGCCCGGAATAGTCCAGCAAGGCAGAATCCGATGAGGAATGTAGAGAAGGTAATGAGAATTTGGAATCCCCATCCTGCCTTGTAGCCGTAGAACATTTGCTGCTCCGTCAGGACATCGGCGCCGAGACGAACGTAAATACTGAGGTTGGACATTATGTAGATCAAAACATGCTCCTGGAGCAATCGCAATCGTTATTAGACTGATCCTTGCAACTTTGGTCGTAGAACTTGCCTTGATATTGAAAGGACCCGGGTTGAGATCAAAGGCCAATCGTCCGAAGGGAAGGGTCCAGTTCGGGATGACTTTCTCCCAAAGCTTTCCCAGGGGGTAGGCCAATAATAGTACCACCGAACCCGAAATTGTCAACGAAGGTGCACGGAGCGTGTAAAGCGTGTTCAACCCGCTAATGACCATGCAAAAGGCAATTCCTAGCACCCACATACGTAGAGTGAGAACGGGTTCAGCAGGATCATCTTTGGCTATGCCTATACCAGCAGCCCGCAAGATTTCGGGTTGTGAATCTACATCTGTAGTGATGTGAGAATATCGAAAAAAAAGGCACAGGAGAAGGCAATTACGGGCTTACCGGAATCAGTATTGTTTTCTTCGTGGAAATCCTTTTCCCGAATACATTTCTCCATGACATTATTGCCTTTATTCTTGTTAGTTTCCATGACGGGAGGAGGTATTGGGGGTTTGGAGGAAACAGGATCAGATTAAAGGATCAGATAAGATGCAGAAATAGAAAGAACGTGTAATTCGGATGCAATGTCGGAATGAATCCGCGTAAAACCTCACGTTCACCATGGTTCTCAGCCCTATAGGGCTTTCAGAAAAGACCTGTATCCACCAAATCCTTCAGTAATTTTTATCCATCTGCGTAGAAGTTCCATAGTTGCTTGTGTTTTTTTATGTTGGGTTTCAAGGTTTTCTACTTACGCTGACGTCAGTGATGATCAGTAGATACACATGTTAAAAGTAACATCCAAAAGGGCTTGAGCTTTGCCGTAGAAGCTGATTAAATAGCCTTGCAGAGACCCGTGTCTCGTCACCAGGTAGAGAGGCACAAGGAAAGTCCACAAATCTAGACCGCAGGGCCCGTGGACCTTTGCTGAGTTGACACAATGCTGATTAACATTTGTTCATAGTCATAGTCTCCTGGATATATCTAGCGTCATATGGACTGGCGTAATTTGACAAAATTGCAGATTCAGATCTATCCTATCGGCAGGTAGAACATATTGAGCGGCCTGTGCTTGTCCACTCACCGAGCCAACAAGTCCGCTTCTACCACCGAGACACGTACTTTGATGCCCCAGCCATTTCGTCCACCAATCCAATTCTTCCGCTTTCCGACCTTTTGGATTTTTTGCACGTCATTTCCCAGCTCTTCTTTCAAGTGAGACGGGTCATATGCAACTTGTTGAATGGTAATTGTCAAGTCCAGGCCTTCTTTCTTGCCACTCTTTCCTAACCCATTCTTCCATTGTGCCGAGGGAACAATCCGAGGTTTGGACGTGTCGATAGACCCGGTTGGGTACAGCTGGCTTAGGACGAAACCGAGTTTCCCAAGATAACGCGTCCACCAAACCTCCTCCGGTGTCAAGATGCTCTGAAGGTGGGCTTTAAAGTCCATGTCTCTGGGTGGCAATTCTCCACCGTAACGTTCTTGGAGCATCAGTGCCAGAATAGCACGGTGGGCATGTGGAATACCGTGCGTGGAGGCTAGTATTCCAGTGCTAGTGCTATATAGTGCGGCACTAGAGGAGAGTTCTTTAGACATCGTGGCATGATAATAGAGGGCATTAGCAAATGCCTGGATAAGGTGAAGGGCAATGGAAGAGGGGAACGATCGGCTAGCAGATGGTCGAGGGATAGCTGCCAACAAAAAAGCGGCCAGCGCCTCGGCTGACGAGGGCGCATAACGGGCCGTGGCAACCTCCAAAGGATCTTGCTGGCGAACAACCGGGGGCATCTCGCGGAACAGCACTCCTTCCCGTACTCCACCTTGACAGAAATGGGCCTCTTTGATTCCATGTGGTAACGATTCAGCCAGGGTGTTGACTAAGAACGCTACCGAGGGCACTTGCTTGCGTCGCCGGTCTGAGACCCGGAAGATTTCATGTGCCGTCCGAGCCACCTCTTTGAGAGCTTCGGTGTTTTCGAAGTCTTTCTTAGGTGCGGTATACCCGTTGATAATCGAAATGGGGTAACATTGGCCCTTTGTCTGGTGCAGATATAACAGAAGATAGCCCCATCCCCGAAATCCTCCCCCCGAGAGGTAGAGAGGAAAGCCCCCTTGCTCTCGAGCCTTCTGAACGAGGTGTTCAGGGACATTGATGGTATTAAAAGCGGCGCGAAAATTGGCTGCCATTTCGCCGCGGAAATGCTCCAGAGCTTTGTGCGCTTCATCTTTGCTTTTGCCCCTTTTGAGATTTGCCAGTTTCTGAGTCAATGCAGCTGCTCCGTAAGGAAAGCTGACAGATCCTTGGGAACTCATATGCACGTGACCAGCATGCGATGTAATCCACGTCATTTGCATGCTTCCACCCCCTAAATCAAGAGCGAGTCCCTCCACATCTGAGAAGCTGCTGGCAATTCCCCATGCTCCGATAATTCCTTCCTCCTCCTTTCGAAGTGCTTCCACCGAAATCCCGGTTTTGTGGCGGATGGCCTCGATGAACGCAGGAGCGTTGATAGCAGTTCGAGTTGCCTCCGTGGCGATGATCCGAATATTCCGAGGAGGAACTCCAATCTCCACGCAGACAATCTGGAACCGAACTATAGCGCTTACAATTCGGTCGATGACATGTTGTGGAATGGGGATTCGGCTGCCTGAGTCGGGATCCATTTGAGCCTCGTAGAGCGAGACATTAACCCGATGAAAATGTACTGTAGGGATGATACGGGTGGTTGGGGGCGAAAGGTCTGAAATCGAACAACGGATGCCATTACTGCAATGACGTGAATCAGTGAACAATTCTCGCCTGGGCACCTTGAAAGGGCAAAGAAAATGTGGATTTAGTCTGCCTACCTGCCCAAATCGACCACTGCGTGAAGGTATACATTTTGCCCCGGATCAGATGGCACCTTTTGACCATTCATCGCTGGAATTTGGCTTCCTCCTCCCATTCAGGCGACCAGTTGAAGTTGTCCAGATGTACGTGGTACACCTGTTGAGTTTCAGCTACGGACAACTCTGCCCAGGTACCCAGGTGGGAAAAACCCGCGTGACATCATTCTTCTTTACCGCCCGCTGTTCTGCCGGGCTATGGGCAGGCTATGTGGCCTCCAAGCATCTTTTACATTTGTTCAAAATTCATCTGATCGTTTGATTTTTGAAAGAAGATTTTTTTTTCAATTTCGTAAGCATCCTGTGACCATTCAAGTTCATTGTGGTCGACGTTGAGCATACCGCATGGCAGTAAATCACATGATCGATTTTCATGGTCTCAAGGGGAAAAATATTGGATTCAGCATCAGATTTGGGGCTCTACTACTCCGTACGGAGTACATGTGAATCAATTTGAGGAAATTAGGCTGTACAAAAGATTTAACGGAGAACTGATGTTTCAAGTTTCCTATACTTTCGTTATAACGAAGCTGGTTACAACGAGTGCCTATGTCAGGGTGCAGGCTGGCAGGACGGTATGATAGGAGATGACTGGCAGGGACAGGTCGTAACAGATCAGATTCTCATTGACAGGTACAGGCACAGGCAGGGGCAGGCTAATATACAAGACGTAGCTCGAAGAGCTACAACAGGATCTAGAACTGAAGTTCAAGATAAACAGGTCGGAGATCACGTGCCGTGATCTTCCTTTTACTAAGCATTACGGTTCACACCGTGACAGCCTAAAGTCAATCGGGCCCACGAGCCAACCCACCAAAGCATTGTAAACACTCGGTATAAAGAAGCTAGATATAACAAACGTTTACCCATGTCTTAATCGATTCGTTATAACGAGGTATTACTGTAGTCGGTCATTATAGGCTGCGAATGTTTTGGCTGTACTTTCAATTTTTTTCCAATAACCTTAGTGCGCGCCGGGGGCATTTGGATTAGAAAAGATTGGTAGATATTCAATACATTTCTGTGCTGGTGTTACATTTCAAAATCTGATCTGATTAATCCCCATTGGAACATATAAATTCATTCCACAAGGAGTGTGCAGGTTAATAAACCACCCCTTAATGTAATCAGCGTGAATATACGGCTGTTCACTTGAAATTCAGATTGAAATCAGCTAATGAGATTCTGTAAGGATCGCATGGTTTCTATTGGGTAGTAATAGATACTAGCTATTATGTAGGATTATTACTCCGTACATAGCCCGCTGTTAGTAGTCACATGACTTTTTTGTTTGCTCC